TAAATACCAATTGATATGCTTCTAAATACAAATTTATTCATGTTTTCGCCCTAAAATGTTGAATTTGTCTTAATAACTTCACTTCACTTCAAATCCTGCATGATTTTGTCTCCCATGGCAAGTTTTTGAACATCTTGTGTCTTTTAGAAAATGTCGGTTGTTTATAAGCAGTGATTATTTTATTTTAATGAACCAAAGAAAGTTTAGTCATTGAAATGACAAAATCATTAAATTTAAAATAATAAGTTATATGAGTGAGATCATCAATTATCAAAGAAGCTGTAAGAAAAAAATCATTGGTTTTGATGTAAAAGAATGTTTTTAATTTAAAAGAAATGCAATACTTGATTTTCAGAAATACGATGCAAAAATTAATGATCCATATTAGAATTCAACAGATGCCACTCATTCAGAATTAAATTGAAAAAGTTGGTACCTATTCGAAATTTATGATTTTACAGATTGCTTAATTGAACGCAGTGCAGAAATTCAAGCTCACCTATGGGTATGAATTTAAGTCTCATGACTGGAGATCTCAAAATTTATTGTACTACCACGTATGTTTGATACATAAGCATTTTTTCCTTTTGATGGAGAGTTTATTTAGGTTCTATTGACTGTAATAGGTAGAACGATGCGACATATTTGCGGCCATCCAACGATCGGTTGACAGCTTTAACTCTTGATACCACTGTACAAATATTGCGGTGGACACATCTTCCACAAGTTTCAATGCAAAGATTCTTATCTAAAGGATAATAAATCGATTCGTAGTTGTTTACTCGAATTACTCCCACCTATAGATATAAATGAACATTATTTAATTTATTTTAAATGTTTTTCATGAATTTGCATTAAAATATTTATTTTGAAATCAACCATGTCAAAATAACGAAATAATTGTTATAGTTTTAGGCTTCCGAAAATATTTCAAACCTCTATCAGAAATATCATAATTAATCATTCTCTTGCATTGAGTATATTAACATTATGAACCGAGCCGCCGCTGCCGCGATCATCATTTGTTTTGCAGGGGCGGGAGTGCCTGCTTTTGTTGTTCTATTTAGTCTTGCTCCCATGAATTGCGTGTTTAGTGTGTGCATCATGGAAAAGTCTGCTTGACAGCGTAGTCACGGTAGCTGTAATTACTTTATTAAGTTTACTTCTTTGCAGTCATATTAAGAGACAAATTTGTAACGAACCAATACTTTGTATAATTTTAATTGTTGAGTGAAAGCTGTGCCTGCAGCCTTGCTGGCACACAACATTTCCAAGTGAATAACCTTATAGAAACTTAGCATACCCATACGTGTTTTAAGCCTATAAGAAGTTCATTTTTTGCCTCAAATAATGTTGTATCGAAAAACTGGTGTAGGTGTATCGGGAATAATATATGAACTGTCAATATTAGAATTCCATCCTGGTCTGGGCCATCTAGCAGGAAAATGTTGAGATCCAGAGAGAGACAGTGCATGCCACCCTATGAGATCATTGAAAAATGTGTCAAAGTTGACAGTTGACCTTGCTCTACCAAATAGTGATAAACTGTGTATAAAGAATATTATGGTTTGAGAATTTTAAATACATCTGTGAATATATTAGGAATCTATTATCTATCTATATTAGGAGTATACTTGCATTTGCTGATTTCAAGTGGTAAATAAATTAATAGATGATTAAGTTGAAAAACAGATTTAGACACATAAAAACTAATTCTGACACAACTTGAATTGGACACACACAGCTCATTCCAAGCTGTGTGCAAAAATTAAAATTTTCTTAATTAAAAAGCTTAATAACTGTTAATTAAAAACCTAATTAAGTAGTGCTCAATATTCAATAGTGTTCTAATTCAAAGCCGCGTCGTATTCCAATACAGCTCACACAGCGATCGTAATTCGAACACGTGGATGTCGGAATTACGTATTAGTACAATTTGAAGTGCGGTCAGAATACGTCTCACCACGTGCCGAATATAGTCACACACAGTGTCGGAATATAGGGATTTGGTAGGTTTGCATTCTAAAGGCTTTTAAATAAATATGGCAATATTTTGTGATGTTTCATTGTTGCTGGTGCGTAGTGCGGTGTTTTGAGAGTCGCGTAAAGCAAACAGAACTCTAGTACCGGTAACGCATACCGGTACGGTTATTTTTTTATAGTTTTTCATTTCTTGATGCGTCCTTAATGTGTTGGAATATACCGCGTTTACCCTAGTTGACCTTGCTCTACCAAATAGTGATAAACTATTTGTGTAGAAAAAATATTATGGTTTGAGACTTTTAAATACGTCTGTGAATATACTAGGAATCCTTTAAGTATACCGTACTTGTATATGCTGATTTCAAGTGGTAAATAAATTAATAGATGATTAAGTTAAGAAACAGATTTAGACACATAAAAACTAATTCCGACAACTTGAATTGGACACACACAGCTCGTTCCAAGCTGTGTGCAAAAATTAAATTTTCTTAATTAAAAGATTAATAGCTGTTAATTAAAAGCCTAATTAAGTAGTGTTCAATATTCAATAGTGTTCTAATTCAAAACCGTGTCATATTCCAATGCAGCTCACACAGCAATCGGAATTCGAACACAATGATGTCAGAATTACGTATTAGTAGAGTTTGAAGCGCGGCCGGAATTTGTCTCACAACATGCCGAATTTAGTCACACACAGCGTCGGAATATAGGGATTTGGTAGGTTTGCATTCTAAAGGCTTTTAAATAAATATGGCAACACTTTGTGACGTTTCATTGTTGCTGGAGCATAGTGCAGTGTTTTGAGAGTCACGTAAAGCAAACAGAACTCGAGTAACGCATATGGTTATTTTATATAGTTTTTCATTTCTCGATGCGTCCTTAATGTGTCGGAATATACCGCGTTTACCCTACAGTTTAGTGCCAAACTGAAAAATTTCACAGAAGCCACCTACTTAGCCTATTGCCACAAATAAGGTAAAATTCATGTGCTCATGGTTAATTTCATTGGTTAGGTAGGACTGTGACAGTGTGACTCATGACCTAGTTGACTAATTCCTTTAATGAAAACCAGTAAGCAATTACACATTTTTGCAGGCAATTTTCAAAAATCGCTTGCAAACTGAATTTTTAAATGGAATTTTTGTGAGATTATATCTGCAGTCTGCCAAATATTACAGATTAGGGTAAACGGTAAATGCAAGTATGCAACAACGGCACCATATTCCGACTCCAACACTGTGGGTAATTCCAACACTGCTCAACATTTTCCTTTATATTAAGCTTGGTCTTAGTTCTATGCATGCGTAGATGGTTGAAATAGTGATGTCATACTATTGCATGCCATATTTCCGCAAAACACTAGGTCTAGCGGGGAAATGTTAAGATCCGCAGAGCAATAGTCCAAGCCAATTTGTGAGAACATCAAAAACGAGTATGAAAGTTGATAGTTGACCTTACTTTACTAAATTCTGATAAACTGTTTGTGTAGAAAGAATATTATGGTTTGAGACTTTTAAATAAGTCTGTGAATATATTAGGAATCCTCTAAGTATACTTGTATTTGCTGATTTTATGTGGTAAATAAATAAATAGATGATTGATTTAAGAGACGGTTTTAGACACATAAAAACTAATTCTGACACGGTGTTGGAATTACAACACAGCTGTGACACAGGGTGTTGTATTCTGACACAGCTCATGCAAGGTGTTGGAATTCCAACACAGGGTGTCGGAATTCCAACACAGGGTTTCGGAATTAGGAATTACGATTTTGAAACGCTGTCGTTATTAGTCTCACAATATGCCGCATTTAGTCACACACAGTTTTGGAATTTTGCGATTTTGTAGATTTGAATTTTAAAGGCTTTTAAATAAATATGGCAACAGTTTGTGATGTTTCATCATTGCTGATGCGCATAGTGACAAACCAGAGATTTTTAGAATCAGTTCATTAATAATTTTTGCATTTACTCAAGATTTAAACAAATTTCTTATGCATGATAAGTCTGGTATTCATGATACTTTACTGGTCTACGAATACTATGACTCACAAATGAACTTGATAGAGAATCTAAAAACGTCTCTGCTTTGCTACTATGCTGGTGCATAGTGTGGTGTTTTGAGAGTGACGTAAACTAATCAGAACTCAAGTTGCGCATACGGTGATCTATTTATAGCCATTTATTTCTTGCTATGTCCTTAAGGTGTTGGAATATGGTGTGTTTACCCTAGTTTGATGGTTGATTTTCAAAAACTGCTAGTAAAAATTGGCTCAATTGACTAGTGTGTTTCTGGCATTTTTGGGCAAATGCATGTCCATCTCCAGACTGTGATTGAATGTGTGCCAGCTTTTCCAATATGCTATCATTGCTATGTGCACTGGTTAATTTAATATACTCTAGAATTCCACACTGCGAGTGAGTGAGTGAGTATATATAGTGTTGGGGGTCAGCCCAAATGTTGGGGCTCAGCCCCTCTAAAGGTCGTTGGTCTGGCCGGTATAGTACCAGCACAGGGAACAGAGTAAAAACAAACTCAGGAGATCAAGCAGAGAAAGAACCAGGCAAAAACATATTGAATAGAATCAGTGGTACATGAAGGTGAAATGTGACGGAAGATGGGAACAGTGAAGATGGGACAGCCCAGGGCTATGAGTGATGGGGTGAACCTAGCATGAGAACATAAATAACCAGCAGCCCAAACTGGTTGAACAGGAAAGAATAAACAAGGATAACTAGCAAATGATCAAAACTGGGCCTGGATAATAATGAGTGAACTACGTAAATCTAATCAAATATACACAAGAGAAGATTGTAGTCTTGAAAATTGGTCTTGAGTTCAAGCTTGGCTTTATCAATCAATCCTCAGGCCAGGGTCTAACAATAGTATAAACAACAATATAGGATATAAAACAACGTTGTGTGGATTAATGTGATTCCATTTCAAGTTAATATGTCTATTCATTTGTTGCTTGTGTTGTTCATGTAATTTATGCAACCATGAGTGAAGAATTTATTACTTTTCAGACTGATTAGAATGTACTAGTCATATGCTGACAATGTCAAATTTTAACTCAGATTTTCAAAGGAAAGAAATTTTGCAAGCTGTAATTTATGGGGATGACTTCACCCACCAGTTTGATCCTTCATCTGGGAAGGTTCATAAGGTGAGTTATGAACTATGACTATCTGCTTGTCAAAGCCAAGATTACACTGCCTACTGCATGTTTGAAATAACTTTTGAAAGCTGAATATATATATAGTACACCATATACCTATCTAGCAAATATGTATTCATATATACTCATTTCAATGAATGGAGCAATGGTTTTTTTTTTTGCTCTTAATGGGCATCTTTATACTTATTCATATTTCTATAAAATGGCTAAACAAAATTTATCTTCCTTATCTATACGTATATATCTGATTAAATTCATAATATGGTAATCTTGATATCTAATTTAGTGAAAAATTCACAAAATATCATGACGATTTTTTGCTTCAAAAACATCAATGAATGACAAATTTTCTTCTAGGTTCTTTCTAATAATTGGAGAAAGCATTTTTGGAAGCATTAAATAATTCAACACATGTTGTTATTCTGCTGGAAAATAAGGACATAGGCTCTGAAAATCCTTGGGATGATGCACTACCTAATGTCTTTAAATTAGTTCTTGAATTGTGTGTATAGTGTCCGTGGGTAATTATCTTGAATTTATTGAGCAAAATATGGTAATAGTTATTTTTTTAATAATCTTGTGGTTATGTTAGAATTAGAGAGCATCAACAGAACTAAGAAAAGCTATGGTGCTGATTCTTGAGGTTCACTCTATAACCAATTACACTCTCACTTTTATCTAACCAGCTGCTTCTGCCTTTGGTGAACACTCCATTGGTGGACTACAGCCTTGACTGGCTACATCACAATGGTGTTGAAGAGGTTATCATTTATTGCAAAGATGGACCTGCTTCTGATGAAATCAAAAGACATTGCAAGTAAGTTTATTTGTTTAACAATTCCAATCCAATCTTGATTCCCTTCCTTCAATAATTAGAAAGCAAATTTCATATAAAATATTTTTCAGTAATAGGTGATTAGGTGTTGGATACAAATGGTGTTTTGTGTTTTTTTTCCATATTAAAAGGGAAAAGCCTGCAATAAATTATCAATATTCATCCAGAGATGCAAGTTAAATCATTTTCATTAAATGATGATCATTACTGCACTTTCCTGGCATATTTCTTTGAAGGGACAATGAGGTTATCCACAAAAAAGTGGCTTCTTCTCAACCTTGTACTAGTTTAATATTATTTTGCTATGGTAATTTCATGATGTACTTTTTTATGGTGCAGATCAGTGATAGAGAGGCGCAATTGGAAAAGCATGTCTGTTCGAGTCTTTTCATCCGCTGACGTCCGATCCTTGGGAGCTGCAGTTCGAGATTTGTATGCCAAGAACATCATACTTGGAGACTTCCTTCTTCTCAAAGGAGACACTTTATCCAATTTGAATATTCGCAAGCTTATGGATGCTCACAAGTGAGTTTTTCTGACCCTGCTTCAGCAGTGCAAAAAATAAACTTGCCCATGGCCATTGGGGATGGTTGAAAATATTTTTGATGCATTCTCACTGTCAGAGTTTGTCAAGTGTTTTAATTAGATTTGCATATATATGTATAACTTACATCAATATCATAATTCATTTATAAATGGTGAACAGTGCATTTCAAATGTTGTAAAATTGAGTTTTTTTTTCTGCAGAGCACACAAAACATTAGACAACAAGGCTGTAATGACCTGTATCTTCATGCCTGCTGAACGGCCATGGAACCAGAGCTCATCTGAGACTATAAGATGCAGCACAACAGCTCCTCAGAGCTTCAGCTCACTCAGAGTATCCACAGTCGCCACTCTGGACGGAAAAATTCTTGCCTATCAACGACATCGGCGAGGCACTGGCCTCTCCTTCCCATCTGTGAGTGCTCTGAAACATTTCTTCATAATTATTCTAGTTGAAATCAAAATTAATTCCCAAAAACTGAAAACAAACCATATTACCACGCTTTTCTTAGCTCGCTTTCGTGTCTGTCTGTGATGATCAAATCTTGCAATCGATATTTCACCAACTTTCCCGCTAGCTAGCGCTCTGAAACTCTTAGGGAAGCTCAGCTACCGATAACAATACAATAATCAATGATTTGTTGCACGTTTCCAGGCGTATATATTACCGAACCTTTCTTTATTACAGCCACGCACCCAGATAAATACGGGAACAACAATGTATCCCCTCGAATACAATTTTCTACAGAACTTTGAAAAGAATTTTCTTTTGTGCATATGCGTGGCCATATTGCTGATATAATTCGAAATAGTGGTTGAATTCAAAATTGAAATTAAGGCATGCCTAAATGAAGATGCGCCCCACGTTTTTCGTTTTAGATGTAAAATATTTTAACTGAAATACAAAAGACCAAGAGAATGAAAGCAAACAGAGATCAGCAGCTGCCGAAAAATTATTTTCTACTTTTGAGTCCACATGAAAAACGTGGTCTTTAAAAATTTTTTTTATACATTTTATTTTAATACTAAAAACCTGCACCAACAGTGACTCGGTTGATATTAACTGATGATGAACTGATATTTAGGGTATGGTGAATCGTTCATCATACTGATGTTACGCTTGTGAACTGATATTACAGTATGGCTATTTGATGTTTGCTAGTGAGTGTGTCGGTATTACAGTACTTGGCGTTCGAGTTGCCGCGCGCCCTGGTGTCTGCACAACTCGGGGACCCTTGCATGAGCGTGTGCAGCGTTGAGTTGCTTGGTCTCTTCGCTGACAACTTTGACTGCATGACGAGTGACAGCCTCGTCAAAGGGCTGCTGCAGCCTGACGACCTCAACGATTGCGCCGTGTATCAGCACATTCCCAAGCACGGTTATGCTGCCAACATCACAACTTTTAAGGACTATGAGAAAGTCAGGTTTGTAGATGGTAAAATCTTCAGCTAAATGCCAACAGCACCAACGCATCTTCTCACGTGAAGAGAGATTGTCAGAACTTTAGCTTTGATTGGAGATGTATTGGTAGGTTATGTAGGAATATCAAGATAAGTGGATTACTTCATCATATTGCTAGCTGCTTTGTGAAATTTCATTTGTATATCATCACAGGAATTGAAAAGCCGCAGTCCTCAACATTCATCATTCAAAAAGCAAGACCTCGTTCAATGGTGAATGTTGTGATCTCAGTACATAATTGCAAGGCTTTTGCTTTGCTTTGAATATCGCATATTTCAGACGCGATGCCACCTCTGAGGGCCTGTTTTTGTGTATTGTTATTCACTGCGTTTGGCTAAGACTAATATTCAGTTTCCATGCGCACGCTTGGCGTATCATTTTACAATCTTTTGACGCTACATAACGGCTTACCGAGTGCCTGTTTTGCACAGTCTCGACATGCTGCGGCGAGTCTTCACTCCGCTGGTGCCGGAAACTTCATGCACGAGCGGCAGACGAAGGTACGCTCACGACGGCCTACGCCAGCACTACTGGGCGCCCAGCAGCTCCCTCGGGTACCAAGCCTACCACGAGCCCCACAGCTACAGGCTGCAGAGCGCGCACATTGGCGTGCAGGTGAGGACAATACGAACATAGGAGTTTTGTCTACCGTTGCAACATTGAATATTATGTGTGGCTGTTGGAATTTGTTATTCTATTGTTTCTAATTTTACAATGCAAATGTTAGAGATTCCAAGTAGAGCTTAATTCTTATCTTTCCTCCTTGTTAGTCTATAAAGCCAAAAGTTATTAATTACATTTCATATCACATTGTCTTAGATTTTATATATATATAAATTCCTGTATTTCCTGAATAATATGCTTCAAATTTACTCCCCAAAGAAGAAAGTTATTCGATCAAGTGTCTCAAACAATACAAATTCATTTACATCTTTCTACTACAAGTTTGTTGACGGTTATTAGTGACCTATTGCAGAGTCTCGCTATTTGTCACGCCCGGTAATTAGCAACTTTTTTGCATGCTATTTCAGACGGAGAATTATTTTCTCAGGCCATTGGAGTTTGTTCCTTGCTTCTTATATCTTTCGATTGAGTGTCCATTGAGGAAAGCTCTCACCGCGTTCATTACACGAGGCTTCTCTGTTTCTCGGAATCTTTTTAGCGCATTTTCTCATTTATGGAAAAAAGCACTATTGTGCTCGCCATGTCCGTCTGTCTGTATGTCCGTCCGTCGGTCCGTGACCTCAAGTTTTCGTCGACGAGAAAATGCGCTGTCTGTCATTCACTGCAGTGAGTACTGAGTTATATTTTTTTCTCAAGGATCTACAATGGTTTTAATGCTTGCTCTATAATTTCAATACAAATAATTCAAGTGTTATTCAACTATTAGTATCATTTCAGCTGCTTTTACGGCGGCCTGTGCCCCAGGTGGTGCTTGGCGAAGGCGTGCAACTGTCGCCCAAAGCACGCGTGCGCTCGTCGGTGCTTGGCAATCACTGCATCGTTGCTGAGGACGCGTCTCTGGACTGCGCCTTCTTGGGCGACCACTGCAACATTGGGGTGAGTCATGCCCGTCTACATCACGGCATTATGTTAATATACATGTCTTTCAATATATAATATGAACAAATTAATTATTGTTGGTTCTTGATAGATTGGTTATTGGGTATAGGTATTTTGATAATGTAGGGCAAATTTCCTGGGTGATTATGATATTGATGTGCTGACATAAATATGCAAGTCTGCTTCAATATACAATATTAATAGAAGATTTGTGTTGGTGTCCAATAGACTTGATACTATGTAGATTTTTCCATATGATATTGATGCTCTGATGTGTGTTGCAGGCGGGGTGCGTGCTGACTCGGTGTTTCCTGGGCGCCAACGTGACCTTGAAGCCCAACACTGTCCTGGCGCCTGGCTGCGTCGTCGCCACCGACGTGACGCTCGGCCCTGACGTGCGCTTGGAGTGCGGCTCGCTGGTCACCTCGGCGGCAGCCTGGCAGCAGGTCGATGAGTTTGAACGAGACGATACTCAAGTGGGTGAGTTGCTGAATGTACAGCGTCTGACTTCATTAATATGAAGGCAAGACGTAAATAGACGTATGTTGCAAACTACATATGCGACGTGAATGAATCATGTCGCTGATAACAAATTTGATGCGTAGTTATTTTTGTTGATGCTAAAAATTGGCTATGTAAAATTATTTCTGTACATTATTAATGTGTATCAATCAATGGGCTGCACTTACATCTCTAAATGTGTGGCCGCTAAACAGAGCGTGTTTCTGAAAATGGCTTGCGGCTGCTGCGGCCTGAAGGCGAAAGGGATGAAGGGCTGAAGCTTGACGCTGATGGTCAGCACCTGCCCATTTGGGGCCTTCGTGATGACGACTTCCTTGTCGTCGAGGAGGCCGACGACAGCACCACTGACGGGGACGAGCTCGACGGCCCAGCGCTCGACGACAACGGAGACGTGCTGGACGAGGACGAGCAGAAAGAACTGGGTGAGCCAAGTGACGATGCCGCAATCGCTGAAATGTCAGCCGGCAGTTCGTGTCAGGAGTTTATGTTGCAGCTCTACTTTATTTTACTGCATGTTAAGTTGGAAAGCTCGGTAGCATAACAAAGTCAGCCTTACAAAATCAAATTTGTATGCACAATTCAATACTTCAGGTTCCCATTACATTAAAGTCTCTTCCTAATAAATCATTCTATGGATTCAGCACATTCTATGGATTCAGCACTACGATGAACGATTCTGAGTCGATAAAAATTATTTGTCGGTTACCGGTACATTTGAAGAATTCAGAAATGATATGAATTCCTAATTGTGTTCTGATGTGCAGAGTTTGACTGCGAGGTCCTGGACAGCCTGTGTAACGGCGTCAAGAGCAAGACTGAGGCTGGCAAAGTCGTCTTGGAAATCAACGCGTCGCGTTACGCGTATAACATTCCTCTAGAGAACATGCAACGCATCGTATTCAAGGTGATATATATCGCCTCTCGTCAAATCCTGAATTTTCTATGTTGAAGCTCAATTGTTCAATTTTAAAAGCTTCGCTTCATATCTAAACATCACCAATATGAAAATCAACAATTCACACTATTATTGGTGGGTAATCAACCAAGTAAAGTTTCAGTTATGAGTGTAAAACCATGTAAACTATTACACTGGTTTGAAGTTTGTTATACTGACATTTCAATTCGTTGACTACTAACGTTGGTGCACGTGTTATCACAGATAACGTGATGGTGAATTACATGAATTGATAGTTTGAATACTTGTATTTGACATTGGTATTTGTCCCACAGAACGTTTTGTTGTGTCATGAGCGTATCGAGGGCAGAGACGACACGTGGCCTGCGTGGCCCAACTGCAAGCGAGGCCTGGCCCTCTACCAGCCTGTCCTCGAGCGCTACTTCAAGTCCGCGTCCGACTACCTCAACACTATTGAGGTGAGCCAGTCTTCCGTCCTGTAATGGTATCAGCTCCTTATCATGACTTCTGAATGACTTTTTCTATCTAACGTTGCCTCCACGCCATTGAGGTGAACCACAGTCTTCCGCCCAGTGCAGTGATGGTACCATCTTCTGCTGGTACCTTTACCATAAGGAGTTCTGCATGACTGTTGCCAAATTGAAATGTATTTAAGTGACCATGGCCATAATGTTGCGTTGCCTTCCAGTCACTTTCACATTCAATGTATAGTTGATAATAATTTTAATTATTCTCTGCTGTATAGATCTACTGTCTTGAATGAATGAAGACTCAAGTTGATATTTTTCATCTGAATTTTTGTTGAAATTAAAGTCTGACCTTACCTTTCATGGCCAATAGTTGGAAAAAATAGCCCTTTTGAGCGTGGATTTGTGGTAAGATTTATTGCATAAGATTTTTCACATAGTTTCCAAATTATTGGGCTCATGGCATGTGCGTTTCCTTTCATTCTTGCTCAAATTATAAGTCAAATCGTTATATTAGTGCTTGAAATGAATTTTTGTTACCTTTCATTCCTGGTCGAATTACAAGTCAAATCGATATATTTGTGCTTCAAATGAATTTTCATTTGTTTACCGAAATTTTTGGGTTTATTTTTACAGTAGCACGTAGTACGTTCGAGTCCGATGAATTTCTATATAAATGTTATTATGTTAAAAAATCTAATTAATGGCTTAATATCGTCATGCTGAGTTAGTCTTTTTGGCTTTATATTGCGCTGGTGAAAGGAAGAACACCAATGAAGCATTAGAAACAAATTTTCTATAGAAGAAATGGCCTCAATTAAAAGCAAGGAATAAAATTGTAATTATTCTAATTAATTAACCTCTAATCTTTGTGCTCTCAAGTGTAGCATTGCAAATCGCAGCTCCGATTCTCCGTTGTTGACGAATTGATGTATTTTTAGTGCATTTTTTCATTTATGGAAAAAATGCACTATAGTGCTCGCCATGTCCGTCTGTCTGTCTGTCCGTCCGTGACCTCAAGTTTTCGTCGACGATAAAACGCGCTCTGTCGCTCACTGCAGTGAGTACTGAGTTACATTTTTTTGTGAAGGCACAGCAGCAATAATTGTTGTGTACAGTCGCTCGTGGAGGCGGACGAGCGCGTGCTGTCGTGCGCCGTGAAGCTGCTCTTCGAACTCACGCAGCAGCTCGAGGTGCTGGATGACGGGGAGCTGCTTGCCTGGTTTGAGGCCGGCGGCAAGACGCCAACATCTCCCTCAACTGCCTTCTGCTCCTTCAAGGAAAAGGCATGTCTTCTTTGCATGCGCTTCTAGAATTATTCCCCATTTGAAAATAGTCTCAACTTTGAGGAGATATTATTAGTGATCATAATAGATAGATTCTTCTAATTTAGTAAGAAATGTCTGGAATGGCTTGTCGTTAAGGAACAGTAAGTTGGTTACGAGTATTGAATACACAGTGATGAAATGAAGAGTTTGTGGCAGGGCAATACCTTGATAACTCTAATGTATGCGTTCCATTTGTTCAGGTTGCTGGGTTCCTTACTTGGCTCCAGACAGCAGAAGAAGAATCTGAAGAAGACTAGAATGTCTCGACATCATGTCATATTTAATTCATTGTTCTTTCTTCACTATTCTTTCCAAGCATGTTTCAGCTTTATAGCTGCTGCCACGTATCAGCTCAGTCAGTCGTCTTCACTGTCGAGAACGTTGTATGGAAATTTGTCAAGTCTGATATTTAAAAGATCTTATTCACAAGATGCGTGCGCCGAATATTGATATTAGGAACGCAAAGTTTTCATGAAATGAGACACATAACGAAATAAATCGTTTCATTATCCATGAGCTGCCGTTGTATCGACTTTTCGCCTGGTGTGTGCCAGTGCTGTGCTCAGGAACTGTAGGGACTGGAGATGCTCTTCAGTAGCCAGCTGACGACGAAGTAGCACCGAGAGCGCCGCCTCGCACACGTCCATCACCAGGTGACTCTGGTGGAGACAAGCGTTGCGTTAGACGGTACTATAGAACCCACGCCATTAGTTCCACTCAGGCCTAATAATTGAATAGCACAATTCAACTAAGGTTAAAAAATTTATTTCGGTGAAATGCAAAAGAATTACAGGAAATGTACTCCAATATTTAATACATCTACCAAGACCTCGCGTGATGGTGCGAGGAAGAATGTATGCATATAATAAAAAACATAGAGAAATGTGTTCAAAGAACATGCTCGGGAGAATGACTTTTTTTTTATATTTAGCAAAGTTTACCTGTAATTGGAATTCATACGCGTGACTATAGCGATCAAAGGCGATACTTAATGGAGGCAAAGGGAGATAAACGATTCATTACCAAAATTTTTGAATGCTAATTTTTCTTAACGCAGTTGTACAGATCTTTCTGCAACTGGTGCAACAACTCTATGGAAGCCGAAAATCTCACATCGTGCCGTATTAATACATTGCATTTTAATCGAGGATCAAAGCCAAAGTTGTAGCGATACGTGATAAAGAATACATTTAGGTTGAGAAGCGTCTTTCCAACCCTGTGAGATTAGTTGGCAACTTGATATATGTTCAAGTTTATTGTAAGCTGAGTGCAATATATTCCGTATTACAGGTTACCACCGAAAATTTAACAGAATTGGCCTCAGTACACACATTCTTGACGAGAACGTCCCAGTTGACAGGAGGATACATAGATAGCACGAGATCATCTAGCAGCTCTGGCAGACTCTTGGTGCTCTGACGGAGGTCATCAGTGGTTGCCCAGAGCTGCCGATTGTTGTCACTGAACACGTCTGGATTCGTCTCTTTAGTGCGGCTATCCAAGACCTCTAAGCACCGCTTGTAAAGTAACTGAAAATAGAAGTTTCATGTTAAGTCAGTAGCCACTTGAAAATTTCATCACCATATACTTACTACCATTATAACTTCAATAGTTTCTGTCCAACTTAATGAGAAGTAGTCACTAAAAAACATGAATTGCGTAAATATGAGCTGGAAAAAGTTGATTTTCATTCATCACTTAAGATACAAAAAGACAGAACTATCTCCAGAAAATCAAGTCTTTCAAAAATGAAACCTTCCCGTATTTATTATTATCAGTTTTTTACTCACTTTAACAGCTTTGGCAACTTTGACAAAACAGTCCAGCTTAAGTTTATCTTCAGGAGACCAGCCAATTGCTTCCGAGTCTGATTCTTCTGTGTCTGAATCTTCATCAGCGTCCATTCTGGGCATCTTAAGTACATTCCAACCTTTGCCATCACCTTCGAGCGACTTGTACACACAAGACAAAGATTGATATAATCATTGTTTTTTCATTTAGTAAATTAGAAAGGGTACACACACCTCCCACAATGAAAGGAGCATCGGGAAGAACATTAGTAAGAAGACATACAATTGGAAGTGGGGTGCCTGCATTGTAGAACCATGCAACTCAAAAAATACGACATAGGTATTAGTCTATGTATCAAGGTAGGTTCAGAGACTAGACGCTAAGTTACTTTTTTTTTTTGGGGGGGGGGGGGAAGCAATAGGTAGCTGTCTGCATTGTGTAAGGAGCATTATTAAAGAATTACCAATTACTGGTATGTAAGGTCATATATAAATAAGATGGCAACATACAAAAGGAAGAGTTCAGCAACCAACCCAGAGTCTTGACTAAACAAATTTTAGATTCAATTATGAAATTTATTTATTTTAGACTTTTCAGTGAGCAGCACATGATGAGCTCATTTTTTCCAATTATTAAATGACGAAATAAAAGTTTTTCCCCAAAGATACATATAAATTCCAAGTACAGTTCCTAATTTCAACTGAGAAAAATTAAAAAAAAATTGTTTCTCACTGACATTCAGAATGTAGGATGGCTTTACAACTGAACCCTAACTAAGGAAAACTGTTTCTTTACTTTACCTCAGTAATCTCCCTGTAGGCATCATCAACAACATCCAATTCCAGCCTCAGTGCTCGGAGAACAGCGTGTACATTGTTGCAAGGCAGTGACTGTATGGCTTTGCACTCCCCCCATGTTTGACCTGTCAACTGAGTGTAGGCTGTCTCTCTGCAGAAAAATTCAATGATAAATGATTGTTTATTATTGCTAAATCTAAAATTTCAATCAAACTAAAAATGCTTACTATTACATCATTCATTACTATTACATCACTCATTACAAATATCAAGATGAAAAAATTTGACCATTGTTGGGTATTCAAATATTCATTTAATGAGCAACAAAATCCTACATGATTTAAGAAACAATCGGTACCATATATAAATACACCTGAAATTAAATTTTATTTTTCTACATTTCTATGTAAAAAATTGGATTTTAACAAGCTTATAAACAATGGGTATATTATAGAATTAACATTTAAATAGAAACTCACAAAGCAGGAGTGTTGTGATCTTCAGCAAGCTGGAGCAACCTTGACAGTGATTGCAGGAGAGCAATACTCGCAGTTGTGACGCACTTTTTGAGCTCTCGACCACATGCGAGAGGAAGAAATCTCACAAGCATCAAAATTTGCTTGGTAGACTCATCCAGGGGCATCAACAAAGCTAAAAACTAAATGAATTAGTACAAATTAACAGTTCTGGTTAATATTGTTTAGAAACAAAGTGATAATTTGAAATCATGAGTAGAAAGTTAAAATTTTTGAGATGCAAATAGCAGGGTTACATAATTTTGAGAAAGCTTTTAAAAAGTTTAATTATGGTTTATTAATTTTATGGAACCACAAAACAGCACCAAATTTATTTTGCAGAGATCAAGTTGATCAACTTGTCAACTTGCTACTGGCATGAAAAATTATCCAGTTAGAATACCATAACTTCACAATTTGATATAAATCTACAATCACCAAGGTATAATAATATATTTCTATGAACGTCATGCTTAATTGCTTACTAACCACTTAATTCTTGAGGTTGCGGCATTGGAGGTTTCATGAAACTTAGGCAAACTTTTGTGCAATGACAAGATACTCGTTGAGAAATTTCAGAGAAGTCTTGCCAATAAGAGCTGAGGGAAAAGTTGCTATCAACCGCTGCATTCAGAAGATCTTGAGAAGTGGAACTGCATCCTGTGCATGCAAAATTACAAAAAAGGCAACTAAAAAGTTGCAACACAAGACTGAAATATTTCAGAAAATAAAAGATATCAAAATAGTCAAACATCATTTATGTTTGTGATGGCTAAAATCATGATTTGGCAGAAATTTGGGGTTTTTACTGCTTGATTTGCAAATATGTCTCTGAAAGTTGAATATTTCAAAATTACTATATTCTACCAATACTATTCATCTACTCATTCTAATCATTACAAAATTGAACGTTTGAACCCACCTTCACTTAGCACTGCAATAGTACTAGAAAGGTTCTCCAAAATCATTTGGATAGTACAACTTTCACTTGCCATTCTCAAAATTTGAAACAGAATTTCAAGTTGTTTCTGTCAGTAATAACTTGAAGTCTTGTAGATGACTAAATGAATTGTGAAGAAAAAGCCACAAATTGATGCTGCGTATAAGTGTTGAGAGCTTAAAACATCTGGTATCTGCAAGAATTTGAAAGGTAGATACCGTCAAATGGGGTAATAAGGGACAACTTTTTGTTGTTAACTTCTTACCATGAAACATTTCATAAACAAGTTTGGGCTCATTTTAAAGACCTTTGTGAGGGCTATCATATGACATCTCCAAAAAAATTCCATATGCTATTTGTCAGGTGCCAGACGCATAATAAAAGCAATCCAAATTACCCCTGGGAACGGGGTTCCATGATATTTGAAATAAAACATAATTTTAAAACATTTGAAGCATGCAAAGCATACTCATGATCATCACCATCACTGACGGTGATGATCTAGGGGGCTTTTTAAAATCATCATCATCTACAAATTAATTCATCATCAATAAAAATTTAATTTTAGGGGGGTTTTAAATGACCAATGGAATGGCCATTGCTTAGCCAATCACAGTCTGGATAACATGACATCATGATCCCATAACCAGTCACAACCTGGATAGCTAGCATATCATGATCCTGTCAACCAATCCCAGTGTAGAAAGTATTGTATTGACAAAGATAATAAACACAAGCACACAATAACTTTTCAACAAAGAGAGACACAGTTAATGCAGAATACAATACAACAGGAATCAGAGACAATAATAGCTAACCAAAATTTTAGTTATGCCTACTAGAATATGAAAAATTAAGCTGGCTTGCAGGCCTTCTCCTACCCATTACCTCTTCTCATGGAGAGAAGAGGAGGGGGGAGGGGCAAGCCGGGTTCTTAAACTTAACTTAAAGTCTCACACTTAGCTCAGCCAGTTTACCGGTAGTTGGTAATCGCGGTATACAGTCTTTACAGAGAAGTGTGATTAAGAATGAAAAAAATATTTATGGAAATATTAGTATTCATGTTAGTCACAAATAAACTTTGTTACGTAAATTTCAGAGCAAAATCAATTGATGTTTACTGCATGAACGGGTACAGAGCACAATCGTAAAGTGTTTACCGTGTGAACTTCTTCTTTTTGGGATGTCCACGCAGGGTAGACTTAAAGCCACAGGACAACTGCAAGGATGACCATTGGGCCTGAAAGCTTGTGTAGTTTTGGACCTCTTGGCATGGAGGTCAGACCACTTATTTTTGCTTATAAAAGTCGGTGGACACAATGGCTGAGCGGGACAGCAAGCGCAAGAAAAGTAGCACAGGGCATTAAAAATATCAAAAAGCAAAGGCCCTTTCTTATCAGAATTCAGCACAGCATTTGGCCACAAAATTAGGTTGACTAATATAGTTATGATAACTTAGATCATACACCCATCATACTTCTTAAGTTTTTAGGTCATACACCTACAGTTCATTTAGCCTACCTAACATCGAAAAAAAGTGTATACAGTCACAAATTGAAAAAGTACACATGACATAAGGAAATATCAGAAGACAAGGGCCGTTGCTCATCAGAACTCAGCACAGCTTTTGACCACATAATTGGGGGGACTAGTAAAAGTATGATAACTTAGGTCATACACACGTAAAAATATGCATACACATACATACATATAAGCTGCATTTCTCATTTGGCATGCCTATCTAAAGTTCATTTAGCCTACCTGACTTCAAAATGTATACAGTCAAAAGTTGAAAGATTTTTCTTTGCACATCATCATTATTACCTCCCCCCAAAAGTGTTAATATCTGATTGGTCTGCGCTGGTGTTGCCGAGTGGTTGTGACGTCACGCTAGTTTGGTCGTGAGATGGCTTTGTGCTGCGCTCTGATTGGTTCGGGGAACGCCGGTAGCCTACGTGGCGTGGGCTGGCTGTAACGTGACGCAAGTTGGTGGCAATGCAGTTGGGGACAGCAGTCTAGCGTGAACCATGATAGGGTGAGCATCTTGCGAGCGTGTGCTATTAACAATTGGTAGCAGAGCGTGCAAAATGGCTTCAGCGAGAGCCATTACTACTAAAGTTCCTCCTGTGTTTAAAGAAGATAATGATTATGATCAGTGGAAAAAGGATGTGGAGCTGTGGACTATTTTGACGAATTTAGACAAGAGTAAACACGCCATTGCTGTTCATTTGTCATTGACCGGCAGAGCCCAGAATGCTTCATCGGAGCTTTCAGTGAATGAAATTAAAGGAGAAGATGGTATGAAAAAGTTGTTGGATAAATTAGACCGTGTATTTGAGCAAGATGAAAATTGGAAATGCTTTAACACTTACTTGGCCTTTGAAAACTACCGCCATTCTAAAGAGTGTTCCATAGACGAATACTCAAGTGAATTTGATCTACGGCATCACAAACTTAAAGAATGTAAGGTTGTACTACCCGATGCAGTAATTGCATGTAGGCTGCTCAAGAGTTGTGGTCTGAGTGATGTAAATTTCCAGCTTGCACTGTCTACTACACCAAAGATGACCTTTGAAGACATGCGAGCAACATTGAAGAAACTCTTCGCCGAAAGTGGCCATTTATTGACAGGTGAAGCTGCAGGTTCTTCTGAAATCGTGAAAGTCGAGCCTGTTCTTGAAAATGAAGCTCTGTATGGCGGCAGTAGTCGCACACGTGGTCGGTCAAGGAGGTATGGTATGCGGCCTACATACCGAGGTGCTGCTAGTTACCGCCAAGACTCGTCAGTTCCTACACGAAGTAACAGTTCTACCAGCAGTAGAAATAATCCGCTTAATCCTGACGGATCAGTTTCAGTTTGTGCCATTTGTTCCTCTCGAATGCATTGGGCCAAAGACTGTCCTCATGCTTTTGAGCGTCAAACTTCTTCAGTGCTCTATGGTAATGATTGCGACCAGCCCTACTACGACGAACACGACGAAGAAGTAGAGATTACTCTAATGGCCGCTGGTGATGCATCGGATGTGAAAATGGACAGTCTCTTAGGTGAAACTATTGGAAAAGTTCTTTTGAACTCGGGTTGCTCGAAGACTGTGTCAAGTGAACAGTGGTTACGGTGCTATATGGAAACTCTTACAGATCCTGAACAAAAATCAATCAGAACCGAGACTAGTACTTCAGTTTATTGCTTTGGGGACGGTCAACGCAAGAAGGCCACACGATGCGTCACACTCCCATGTGTGTTGGCCGGCAAGGCTGTGAAAGTGAAGACTGATGTTGTCGATTCTAACATTCCTCTGCTGCTGAGTAGGTCATCCATGAAGAGAGCTGGAATGGTTATTAATTTGAATGACGACACCGCGTCAATTATCATTATCAATGTTTTTGATAAACATGTGAAACTTGGTTCTACCACTATGGGTCACTACACTCTACCCATCTGCTCTCCTCCTTCGCAGACACGCATTGAGTGCATTTTATTGAACGACGTTGACTCGCATGATAAAAGTAACATTGCTTTGAAGCTACATAGGCAATTTGCGCACCCATCAGCTGAAAAATTGAAGAGGTTGCTGATTGACGCGGAACAGGGAGACCCTGCACTCTTGAAGTGCGTCGACAATGTGACTCAGAACTGTGAAACTTGTATTAAATACAAGAAACAGCGTCCTAGACCTGTTGTTGCCCTGTCCATGGCAAAGACCTTCAATGAAACGGTAGCTATGGATTTGAAGGTGTGGAAAATTGGTACATATTTCTTGGTGCTCGTGGACTTAGCTACACGTTTTTGTCGAGCTATATTGATCCATGACAAGAAGGCTGAAACAATCATCAAATGCCTTTTTACTGACTGGATTTCCTTATTTGGTGCCCCAAAGCAATTTCTATCCGACAATGGAGGAGAATTCAACAATGATGAGATGCGTGGAGTTGCCGATAGTTTCGCCATAAAGNTTCAACCATCAACTAACGCATGGAACTAAAACAAAGCTTAATATAAAGGAAAAACTAGAGAGGTGACAGAATTACCCACGATGATGGAATATACCACGTTTCCCCTAGTCACAAGCCAAAACCGTCAATCTGTCTAGCTATAAAAGTAATAAAACTTGCCAGTTACCAGCAAATATGAAAAACAAGTTAGGAACTGCTAATTCTAGAAGAGATTTGAAAAATTTATGGCTTAAACCAAACACAAGATCATGAATATTTTTTAACAGAGAATTGAGACAAATTTCAATTGTTTTGTGAAGGGGTACGGGTCATAGTGGCAAAGCAGAGAGTTTTTTAGACTCTCCCTCAAGTTCACTTTCGAGTCCTATAAGTAGACCAATAAAGTATCCTGGATACTAGCATTATCATACATAAGAAATTGGTTTAAATCTTGAGTAAATGAGGTAATTAAAAATGAACTGATTCTAAAAATGCTCTGGTTTGCCACTATGGTACGGGTAGCAAACATTGGTTACCATTTACCAATGTAGGTACCCCTTCACAAAACAATTGAAATTTTTTTCATTTGACGTAGAAAATTTGTTTACCAATGATTGGTAGGCCTAAATAAATTTTCTACGTCAAATGAGGGTTATGAGGCCATAGTTAAACCTGAACATCAGTAAAATGTTTCAAGCAATCCACAAACATAGGTAAGAATTATCACAACAGTACCTATACTGATTCTAGTCATAAGAGTTTAAAACCGGTACCAGAAAATCAGAAATTTAACAAGTTTAAAACTAAGAGTTAGGCCTAGGCGGGCTAGGCCTAGCTATTATATCATTTATATGCAGCAAAATTGGTCAAAATTGAAACTTAGAAGCAAAATCAGACTGGTGAATTTTAGGTAGGGTAAGCCATGGTGACAAACCAGAGATTTATTAGAATCAGTTCATTTTTAATCTTGTCATTTACAAAAGATTTAAACCAATTTCTTATGTATGATAATGCTGGTATCCATGATACTTTGCTTGTCTACTTATAGGACTCAAGAATGAACTTGAGGGAGTCTAAAAAACTCTCTGCTTTGCCACTATGGCCGGTAAGCCATATAAAAAACCAGGGCAAGAACCAGATGTATAAAGTTTAGTAGGTACAAGTTTCAGCCTTTCAGGTGAAGGACAGAAGAATATTTTAAGTTTACGCAAAAAAAAATTTTTTTGATTTTGTCTTCGATTTTCAAAATGGTTTTAGAGATCTGATCTGTAAATCTGTAATTTCAACAAATTTGGAAGGATCGGTGACGATTGCATTTAGGCTACTCAGTATGGAGCTCATAATTCTCGAAAATGTAACTTTAACCCTTACGAGAATATTCACGGAATTACGGTCGCATCCTGACCTTACGAGAATATTCACGGATTTACGGTCGCATCCTGAACGCTCACACCCAGCACCCTTTCACAACGTGCACTCGCTTACATCTGCTGTCATGTCTCATGTGATGTCACTCATGTGTCAAAAAAAAAACTGTCGATATTCCGCACAGCTCTACTCCACCAAGTCCGCTGATTCTTCAACGTCATTAATATTTCTTGAAGCTTCACAGTTGTATAATAAACTAATTTATATTTGTTGAAATTTGTTTGTGCACGTTTAATTTATTAATATTGAGAGAATAGTAAAGGCATTCCAAAACATGAAGAGCATTGAAACACAAATTAATTTTTTTGTCAAAATTTGATTACACTTGATTTAAAAAGGCGGTAAATCTTTTTCGATGTTTGAAACGGCCAAACGGGAGTCGAAAAGGAGCTTTATGTTCGAGGCAAAATAGGAGCATTAACTGTCGCGTATAAATAAACAAACACAAACCTTATTATTAATGGATTTGGGGCGTGGTGACTCTGAAGAGAAGTACGACGTTTCAGAGTCAGGCCTTTGCAACGGCCATCAGCCACGCATCACATATTCATTTGTTAGTAGGAAGGAGGAAGAAAGGGAAACTATAAAGTATAAACAGCAAAGAGGGTGTGAAAGTTCGTGTTAGGGGTAGGATGAGAGCTAGGTGGAAAGGAAATCAAGAGGAAATTCACATGGTTTATTATTGCTATTTCTCAGTTTTTGCCCTGCGTAATTTTACATTTATATTAGTTATGTGGCTTCTAAAGCCCTGAGTGACTATCTGTGTTATATTGAATTATTATGGTTTGGTTATTCTATCTCTATTACTGCTGTTCTCTACTGTCCCCCGGCCTCCACTCCTGTCAGCCTCCTCCTCTCCCTCACCTTCCATGCACTCTCCAGAAATCTCTTTCCACTCTCAGTCATAGCGGCTGTCACACCCGTTGACAAGCCATTATAATTGCCATCCATTCGTCTCCTGTTCTCTCATATACCACTCCGTCACCCTCATCTCTCTCATCCAGTACCAATCTCATAATTTCCAGTCTCTCCCGCTCAAATGCGTCACACTTGATCATCAGATGCTCCACAGTTTCCCTCTCACCTCTGTCACACATGAAACAAATATCATCTCTTCTCTCATTCCACCGGTATGTCCGAGCATTCACACTCAATGCATTTGCTCTCACACAGAACATTAGGTCTCCACCTCTACTTCCATCATACATGTACTCATACCTTGGCACCTCTTTCATCCTGTACAACTTCAGGCTGTCCTTTCTTTCTATTCGTTGCTTCCGAACTCTCAGGCCCCGCAGTTTCACTCTCTTTTCTATTTCCTTCTTCCATTCGTTGACGTTCCATTCGATCCCTGTTGCACCCTGTTAACTGTTATCATCCTTTCCTCTCTTGGTCTATTATTCCCAGGGCTAGCCCGTGTTTCATGAAGTCCACATAATAATGGGATTGTGGACAATAAGCCTACCGAAATTCCAGATGATGGGACACTCAAATGGCAGGAATTACGAATCGTGGGCAACTCCAGGTTAACCTGCTAGTTAAACATAATACTTTGACGTTGGCCAATTTCAGGCAAAATTTTGCGCCTAGATGCGGATTTCGAATCTTCAACTTGCTGCTTTAATCTTGATGACCTCAATTACGCGATCATCACATTCAACTTCGCTCGTTTTAATCCGCTAGACTTGGAAACATCAGAGCAAATATTTTTTTCTCAGCTGGCTACGTTATGATATTACCGACAGCAATAGGGAGTATGATGAGTATCATAACATAACATATTGATTTCGACGCTGAAAAGTAGGCCTGATGTGGTCTGTCGCCGATCCTTGAACTTTTCGTGACTTGTTCACTGAAGATCTAAAATCTTGTCATTTGACCGGATCTTTTCAAGACTGACGATAGTTTGAAATAGCTACTAGACTTCCACCGGGTTCGATATGGTGCTAGGCATTTCAAGTCTAGACATATATTTTTCCATAGCTTTATCTAGTCTGGGCAGGGTGGCCCAGTGGTTGAAGTTCACAGTACCAAGATTGGCGCAGAGAAGCGCGGGTTCGATCCCAGCTATGCGACAGTTTCTGGTCAGAATCGGAGAAGAGGGCGGGCGGTTAATCACAGCAAAATTGTAGCAGAGTTGCGAGTTCGAGACCGCAAAATTCTGTGAATGTTCTGCGATGTTAAGAATTGGCGACAGGCCTACGGCCTAATAAATGCTGAAACCGCTATTATTATTTATTCTGTTCTTGAACGCGTTCATACTCGGAGCGCCAACGATGTAATCAGGGAGGCTGTTCCACATGTCGGTGATTCGAAGCGAGAAGAAATGTTGTCGCGTGGATAAGTTGCAGCGCAATTTTTTTAGTTTATTGCCGTGGCCTCTGCTGTTGGTCCTTGTTTAAAATTCTAGTAATCCATCTGGGACCTTGTATAAACCATGAGTGTACTTGAATGCTTCAATGAGGTCCCCACGCAGACGTCGGTAACTGAGGCTTGGAAGCTTCAATGGCCTATCGATGTGGCCTACGTAAAATTTTTTATGTTTTCAATTCTAGAAGTCTCCATTTTTTACAGCTTGCTGAAGATTACAACCCGCAACTCACAGGTCCAGTCTTGCCTCTATTAATCACATGGCCACCTCAAAAGAAACCAACTTTGTGGTTTAAAGAACACGCGTTTTTGGCATATTTAAACCGAATAAATAACCTTACAATGAGCTTCGCTTATTATACCATGGGTAGACGTCCTTTTAAAGAATAAAACTACTACTTAAATTCTCTTAAATTTTTTAAAACTGATAGATCGTGATTAATTAAATGTTTCAAAGCTACTCACCACTCTCCGGTACAATAAAGCAAGCAAATCATTTAGATTTGCAGTAATGTAGAGAATAAGAGACATAAACTTTACGAATAGTCGAATAACTAAAGTTTCGCTGTTACGAGGCACTTTTCTTGGAAATCAAGCCTACAGACAATTTTTCGCCTCGTCCTAGAAGGTCGTGCGAAATCATCTAAAAACCATTATTTCTACTTAATTCAAGTAAACACGTCAGGAAATTTCTGTGATGAATTTATTTAGTTAACCCTCGTAGAATATTCAGTTAGCAACTTAATAATACGCAATTGGCTAGAACTACATTTTCAAGTTTTGACAGGCTGAGGCGACAATCGGAAAAAACGGACAAAAGAAGCAATGAGACTAAATCTGCGTTTGCTAAAGTTTTCCCTTTATTAAGAGTCAAGAATTACCGTTCTCTTATAACATTTTTCAGTTTGAAGGAGAGTAGGTAAGAAGTCACAGGAGCATAGATATAACAAGAAGCAGGAATGGGGCATACGAGGAAGCCAGTTGGAGTGTAAAAATCGACAGCCATGATGGCAGTCTTCCGTGTCGCGTTGCACGTGAATGGTCCTTTTCGTGAGCCTCGCAAGGACGACATAAGAAAGATACGGTACAATTTTCAGGCTGGAAAATAAAATTATCTGTGGACGGTTTCCCTTTTAAAAGAAAACAATGATTGGATTGATTTGTTCATTGATTTTTTGATGCAATGCAACTTTACCGCCTATCTAAGAAGAGTTACGCTTCAATGTATTGCCTGCCTATTGAAATTATTTGCGCCGGTAAAATTTTTTCTAACTCATCCTAAAAGTTCACTTATTTCATATTAAAATGTTTACATATCCCTATTAAAACTTTTTAAAAGCGTCACACTTGCGCTTTTTCAAGCCTTACAATTGATTTAATTGCACAAAGATTCTGCAAATTGCATTGTTCCATTATGGGTGACGCAAAGCCGAAACACAAACTCAGAAAAAAAAACACTAACAAAAATAGAGTAATAAAAAGAAGTAGTGGCAACTAGAACTGAATAACATATAAGCAATCCTGCAACACAGCATTGCTAGATCGCTGGCAGTTTTACTAGTCTCATTTTTCTGTCACATTTTGTACATAAGCTGCTTCTCAATGGATACGTGCTGATATCTTCATCTTTATCTACTACCTACGAAATAGTAACTAATAGTACATTCGGAATTAAAGAAACTTCATGGCATTTCAGATGAGCCGGCACAAGTCAGCTATTCCCGATGAAGGTATGCTGGCCAGGTTGGGGCAGAGGTTGTCCAAACCCCATCTGGGAAACAGAGAGTGGAACTGGGATTAAGAATTTAAATGCCATACAGATAATTATCGCCCAGATATAAGCACCTAAGGTATGAATAAGCATGAGCTAGGATAAAAGCATCATTACTAACTAAACTGCGACAAGGAATCGCAATTCCCACAATTAAAATCACTGGAAAAGATGCTTCAACATAAGTTCGAGTATAGGATTTGTAATAAGGAAGCTATGTAGGTATACCGTATATAGTTCAAATGACATTTTATCAATTCAGTTACAAATAACTGGACCTTGATTCTATGACAAAAAATTAGTATATCAGTCTTACAGCCCTGATCTTCATTTTTCTGACATAGCCGTATTAGAGCTAGAATTTTTATCCAGGAAATGTTTCAATTGCATGAAGCCATTATACCATTTTGCCAAATAGTTGAATAGTCCACATCTCAATATGAATAGTAAAAAGTTTGTACTAATAATGGCAAATTTTCTGTTATACTATCAGGTCGTGATGTCATTAGTGACTATTACGTCACCTTCTGTGACGTCACTATTCGCGGGTCACCGCATTATATAAGCTCGGAGAGCGTACTGCCAGTCAGTCGTAGAAGAGTCTCAGTCTTAGGCAGTCATCGTAGAGCCTGCAAACTCTAGACGAGCTCACGTCGTCTTAGACTCCGGCACTCAGCCAACACGCAGTGTCGTTATACTCTATCTCCAAAATTACTGCATATACTGTGCTTTGATCCCGTAACTTCTATCTAGTGTATCCCGTGAACCTATCTTTAATACTTACGCTTAGATACACGTCTTGTTATTATCCTTCCCTGGCCAATGAATATTTAATATGTTATTCGGACAATTATAAACGAACCAAAACCCCTCAGGTTCTTCTTCAATCGATTACCAGATCCTCTAGATCTGACAGAGACAGAACCAGAGTTCTGACAGAGTTATCCCAACTTTGACAATACAAATATACTTGCATACAAATTGTAACCATGATGAATTTTAAATGCGCACTTCAAAATTAATATATGGTGTTACTCAAGAAATTGTTTTGAGTTCAAGAGTGTAACACGAGGGGCATGTAAAATTCTAGCACTTACGCATCCCTGTGAAGAGCTGTGGTGCAGGAATTTCGTGGCTTGGCTTCTCAGGTTGATGACCAATGTCAGGAACTGGAATAAAAAAAAAAACAGATTATTATCAATAGACAAAAACAGTGATTTTACTATCACAATTCACCAAATACATGTAGCCGCCTAAGTACACATAGCGACCAATATCTTTAATGTATTTGGTGGGTTTAGTTTGAAAAGCTGTCAGTGATTGGCTGATGTCTTGTGAACTTTTCTGAAGGTACAGGCCCAGTCATACATCTACTACAATGCTATAAAACTGTTATCTGGAGCATCAGCTAAAACTCATGGAAGTGGTTGGCAGCCGACTGGGACAAAGCACAAGACAGATAGCATTGAATGACATAAAATTTATTCTCAAATTATATCAAGGAAAATCTACTAGATATCCTACTACACATCCAATAAATATACTAATTCACAGTTCAACTCTTGTATATGAATGGAAATTCAATATTTATTTTAGAATGAATTTTAGAGATAGGTATTGAAGAAGTGAACTGTATTTCACCGTTTACCTCTTTTTTCCAAAAATATTACTGGGCCTAATCTTCAAATAAATAAAACATTGCCATCAGTAGCAGGTCACTGACTTTGTCCTAAGAAGAATTCAACAAATATAGTGTTTGGGATATACAGGAGATGCAATAATTATTGTTAATATCTGATTGGTCTGCGCTGGTGTTGCCGAATGGTTGTGACGTCACGCTTGTTTGGTCGTGAGATGGCTTTGTACGTGCTGCGCTCTGATTGGTTCGGGGAACGCCGGTAGCCTACGTGGCGTGGGCTGGCTGTAACGTGATGCAAGTTGGCGGCAATGCAGTTGGGGAAAGGAGTCTAGCGTGAACCATGATATGGTGAGCATCTTGTGAGCGTGTGCTATTAACAATTATTGCTACACCTCTTTTTTGGTAAATAATTTTCAAAATGTTATAAATACGTAAATCAGAAATGAACTATATTTTGAGTACCTAAAACATCAATCCCTACTAAGAAATAATCATTCTTTTATAGCTATCAAAAACTTCACGTCACCTGGAGCTGCTGGATGTCTGACAGCAGCAGCAGCTGCTGCTGCTGCTTTTTGCTGAAGAACATAAGCAGAATGATCAGCATCATCACCACCATCACTGCTTTGACTACTTGAGGTTGAATCATCCGTATTAGATGTAGCAAGCTGATGCGTAGGGTAATGTTGGTGCTGTTCCATTTCGTCATATGTACGTTTTTTTCTTGCAGTTTCCACAGCAGTCCTCTTCAGGGCAGATTCTTCCCTTTGTTTTTGTTTTGTATCCACACAAACCATGGAGCCTGGTCGTCCTTTTTGGCGCTGAAGCTTCAAGAAATTCTTGTCTTCTTCACTTTGCATCATTTCCAAAGCATTTGGATGAGCTATATCAAAGAGATTGTCCATTGCCGTGACAAAAGCATATCTTTTTTGGTTTTCCTTGCCTGTGGTTATGGTCAAATTTTTCTGCAAGGCATTCCATTCATCATGGAGTTGCAATAACTTATCTATGCATTCTTCAGTACTTTGGGTAGGAATTCGAGCTTTTTGCCATAAATTAAAGGCTTCTTGAATCACCAGAGCAGCACTGTCCTTAGCTGCAAGATTATTAACCCTTAAATTGTAGAATAAAACACTCAAAACCTGCCGGTGGGAAGGGAGTTTGGCTCCAACAATTTGATTTGAAATATAGCCAACAAGAGAGACATACGTGTCCTTTCCTGACTTATCTGATGAGCTGCCTACAGAAGATGATGCCATATTTGATGTTGGAGAAACAACTCTCAATTTACACCAGTAGTACACACAGTTCTGAAAGAAATTTTGAAAGTTAATTTATAGCAGCAATTGTGTTTTGATTCAGGATAATAAACAATACATAGCAATACAATGGACTGTGTAACAACCTATCCTAACCTAAAGTATTATCAATTTATCTAATACTGGTACCGGTACCATCTAGTACATAAAACTTTTGAGAAAACTTGATTCATTTCTGGATAATTTGAGTACCAAAAATAGGATTTAATATTTATTTATAGCATTTTCATGAATAGAATATTCATAAATTATTTCTTATCAAAGTTAGAAGTTTTTTCAATAGGTACTTTTCAAAATAAAAGGTTTGATAAAATAAATAAAAGGTTTGATAAAAAGATAAAATAAAAATGTTTGTCATTTCATTATCAAACCATCTCAATCAAACTATAAAAAATTGCCTGTCTGCCATTCTGGTAGCATTTTTGTGATCAGCGCGTGATTTGTACACATACCTAGCTTCTAGTTGGGAAAAGTCTACTTATTACTGAAATATCAAGGGCTCTAATGTAATGAATTTTTGTTTGATTGAAGAAGTTGCAGTTCACAAATATGTTGTTTCACAAAATTTTTAAATTTGCAGTTCAGTACCATGCAATTGCCAAAAAAAAGGTATCCTGCATATTGCCTCTAAACTGAAGACAAATGTCCTTGTTGCTATTTCTAGGATAAAATGAGAGATTTGGGGAAACATGTGCACAGGACCTTGCAAATGAGTTTGTGGCTCATAAACTTTTCATGCCTGGGATAAGGTATTCATGGCTCAAAGATATGGAATCATGGCTTGGAAATCCATAAAGCAACCACTCAAAAAAACACCAGTCGTGGTTCAGCAAGTAGATGTTTTCACTTTTTTCACTACTCACTCACCTAGTCATAAATGCCAGGGTCGTAAACAAGGTCATAAACGCCGGAGTGACTTTGGCCATCGTTTATGACCCCGCTTTTGTTTCAAAACAAAATCAAAAACGGGGCCAAAGTCACCCCAGTTGATGGTACGACGGTACTGTATTATTGATGCAATATTACTGTATTATTGATGTGATATTACCATATCCATGAACATGCCATTGAGCATTTACAACAACCTTGTCCACTGCAAGCTTCATATCAGTAGCCTTATAACATTTTTTCTGTATCTGTAAGCTCACAGGATGGCTTGTAATTTTACACCATTTTAATTGGGTTGAGTGAATTTACTATAAAAAATATAACTCGGTACTCACTGCAGTGAGTGACAGAGAGTTGACGAAAACTTGGTCACAGACAAACGGACAGACAGACGGACATGGCAAGCACAATAGTACTCGTTTATGCGCCATGCGCTGGTTTATGCGCCATTTTAATTGGGTTAAGTGAATTTACATTAACAAAAATAGATCATGAAAAACATACTTGAAACAGAAAGGAATGTTTTAGTGACAACCATCATATATTTTGGAGAAATAAATCATAGTTTAGGTCAATTACTTTTCATTCTATGATGCCCGGTGCACAATTGTATATAGGTATAGCATTCTATGTACAATTTTGTGACGACCGATGATGCACTAATTTTTCGATAAGTGACATTTTTTATGCCAAGTGAGGTAAATGTAATCAATATTCTTTGTTTTTAATCCATTTTTTCTTAACTGGACCCTTTGCTTACTGAGGTTCTACTGTAAATGCGTTTTTGGGGGAGAAATGGCCGCCATTTTTTTTTGGGAATGAGATAGAACAAATCCATCAATTATGTTTTCAAGCTGACACCTGGGTGCATCTTTTATGCGAGTAAAATTTTTTAATACGGTGAATATTTTTTTGGCTACAGACCTTAGCAGAAGTAACTTTTCAAAATAGCATTTTTCACCATTTTTTCAGGAATTTTTCAAAGCTAGTAAATGTAGTATTTTTTGACTTCCTTTATACTACATAGATAGGAAAAATGTTGATGTTTACGCCACTATATTTAGTTTTGCAATATTCCAATTAGTTTTGCTACTATAACAGTTTTACGCTGTGTCGGAGGACTGTCCCGAGTAGCCCCAGTTGACGGTATATTTCGTTTTGCAATATTCCAATTAGCTTTGCTACTAAAACAGTTTTACGCCGTGTCGGAGGGCTGTCCCAAGTAGCCCCGCCAGTCCCGAGTAGCCCCGGTTGACAGTAATTTGTGTGACAATAACTGAACTTTTTTTTGCTGAGCGAGGTAAATGTTATCAATACAGCAATCCCTTGATTAACGCGGTTAATAAATCCCTGAGTTTTACCGTGTTAAGCAAAACCGCGCTAATCAAACTTAAGAATATATGGGAATAATTATAATGAATCCTCAAAAATAGCAAAGTTACATAATAATATTTTTTTCCCACTAAAATTCATATTTTTTTTCTAAATAATAGGGGAAATAAATAAAAGAAATGCGAATGAATCCTCCAAAGCAAATTCTCCATTTCGATCATTATACGAGTCCTATTTCTAGTGCATTGCACGCTCCACGACGTAGAAGCAATTTTGCCTTTCTCTTGATACTCGGATGATTTTTTCAAAATTGTGCGTATTGTTGACTCGGGGAACCCTAGGTCTTCACCGATCTTTGTTTTCGTTTCACCATTATCAAAATGCTCAATTATTTCAAGCTTAGTCTCCAAAGTGATATTTTTACGTTTAAGCGTTCCTTTTTTGTCCATAATTATGATGGTAATTTATCAAGGAAAATTATGTAGTTTGATAAAAGTGAGCAGTAGATATAGCAGCGATATTGACCAGTTGAAGGCTAACGAGTAACTAGAGCACTGGCATGGCGCACTTACCGGCGAATGTTGCCGAACTCGACCATTCGAGTTATGAACGAGACAAGGCGCAGCTAAACCGAATAAACCGAAGTCAGCACGAGTGCCTAAGGAACGGGACCTTATTTAAAGAATTATTGGCTGAAATTCATAAAGTAACATTTGTAACATAAAGTAACAACAAAAATCATGTGTTGTGAAAAAAAAGTTGCACTAATCAAAACTGGCACCGCGTAGATTAAGGGTAGGTCGCAAATTTTTTTTCCGCGTTAATCAAAACCGCGGTATTCAAAACCGTGCTAATCAAGGGATTGCTGTATTCTTTGCTTTTAATCAATTTTTTTCTTAACTGGAGCCTTTGCTAACTGAGGTTCTACTGTAAATGCGCTTTTGGGGGTGTCCCGAATAGCCCCGGGGGGGGAGGGGGTGTCCCGAGTAGCCCCGCCGTGCGGAAATGACCGCCATTTTTTTGGGAATGAGATAGGCAAAATCTGTCAATTACATTTTCAGGCCGACACCTGGGTGCAACTTTTATGCAAGTAAAATTGTTTAATACGGTGAATACTTTTTTTACTACAGACCTTAGCAGAAGTAACTTTTCAAAATATTGTTTTTCACTATTTTTTTCAGGAATTTTTCAAAGCTAGTGAATGTAGTATTTTTGACCTTCCTTTATACTACATAGATAGGAAAAATATTGATGTTTTACGGTGATATAAATCAAAACGTTATAAGATTAATCAAAACGATGATTTTGTCAAAATGCGGCACAGCCTCCTGACAGGGCTCAATGGGGCGGTGTCCCGAGTAGCCCCAGTTGACAGTAATTTCAACTTAATTTCTAAGCCAGTCAATATTACCCCATCAGGGCTGCCATTAGGTAGTCACATTTCTCCCATTATGGGGCGGTGCCCCCCATTTGCAAACTATGACCCTTTCCTCAAGTTTGTCATTTGCATATGTAACTAGAAGAGTTCTACTACAATGCACCAAAACCTGGAGTTATTTTACTAAAAAATATAATTGATTTTACCACCCAGTCTAAGATACCCCAAGAGCTGAGGTAACAAAGACCATCACTTTTCTTTAAATTACATAAAAACTATGAGAGGCAGGAGCCAGCAATTTATGGTAAGGGAACCTAGAGTATAGACCTGTATTTTGCATTTTTCAATTCAAGTTTAATTTAGCTAGTAAAAAAATGGCATCATTAAAAAAAGTGGTCTAAGTTACCCCATTTTATGGTGTACAAGAAAATGGATTGAAAAGCCTACCACATTACATCTCCCACAACAGTGACAATTGATATACTGAGTTAGTCAGAAACTGCTGCACTTCCAATATTGCGCGTGGTTTGGAATTCGATACTGGATAGGTAACGCCTCACTTGACTTCACTTGATTACATTCACTAGTCGTTTATCGGCATTTGACAAAATTTTTTGCAATGAATATGTTCTAAGATGAAAAAAATTATATCAACTTTTGCAAAAAAATTTCACAATTTCACCAACACAAACAAAGTTTTCAAAACCACACAAAATGATGGGGTAAACTGCAAATCTTTCACAGCATATGGCACATCGTGCTGTCATGTTAACATATGACAAGATGCCATCACCAAGACGGAGTCACACTCCTTGTTTAGGTAATGTCAAGTTTGATTTCACAATAAATAGATTTGATACACATTCCAAGCTGAGATTTAAATAATGGAAAGTTGTTTCAAAATGTAAACACTAAACACCTATTGATAAGAGTCCAGATGTAAATTTTTTCATGTTTTTACCCTATTTTGTCGATATTGTCTACATAACTTCACCTCCGATTCCGAATGATTTGGTCACCATTGCAAATTTTTAAACATCTCATGTCTTTTAGAAAATTTTCATAGTTTAGAAAATTTTCATAATTTAGAAGCAGCAATAATTGCATTAAAAAGTTCAGAAGCAGCAATAATTGCATTAAATAAGTCATTGAGCTCTTAGGAGTGTACCAGAGGTGCATTAAATAATTTAATTGGATTTAATTCTACAGCATGTACCATGTGGTGTATTAAATAATTAAAAAAAATTTATTACAATTTAATTTTTGCTTAATTTAATTCTACAGCTGCAGCCAGTAAAAATGAGCATCATAGGAAATTAGGAACGAAGGTAAAATTGTCATCCATACATCCCAAATTGAATGACAATGAATGGATTTGGCCAGAGTGCAGAAAGTGGGTGAATAACAAAAGGTCTTTGGTGATGCATCAGCAGCCAAATTTATGCCTTCAGAAGATCTTGCCAACACATTTGGATTGAAATTATAGCATTTTAGAAATTAATTTGAAATTATTGCAAATTTGAAAGACTGCAAGTGCAAACAGTAAGGATTCCAGTACATTGGATGGACCAGGATGCAGTGAAGCTTGTCCAGAAATCAGTTGTGATGAGTGTAAGTGTTGCAGTTGAATTTTCCAGTAAGGGATATACTATCAGAGTTGCTTGCAGCATTTTCTTATTAAAAATTATACAGTGACGCATCTTGAAAATGGCTGGCAACGTTTTGGGTAGAAATCCATATCTTGCCAATGCTCCTTGCAATCTCTGCACCCTGGGATTTGGTAGGTATTTCATTAATCCCATTTATATATAAGAATGGAAATGTTGCTTTCATTTCAGAATCTGTTCCTGAATACACTTGTGAAACTACGGTAATACTACAGTACTTACTCACTACTTAGTAGGTACTTAAATACCATAATATTACGGTTGGCAATGCCTTATGCCCTTAATACCGGTAGTGGGCAGTGCCGCAGAGGCATAGGCTTTCCCAACTGTAATTCTGTAAAAAAAAGGCAGATGCTTGTTTGCTTTTACTGTGTCAACATGCAAGAGATTTTCCTCCCACAAAATACCTTTTGTGGTGTGCAACTGTGCATTATGTTATTTTCAACTCTTATTGGTGGCTCACTGGCATGATTTGTTATTAATTCGTAAATATTAATTTGTTGTGTTTGACTTGTAGACAAATTGCTAATAAATTAATATTTAGTCTAATTAAAATCTCAAGGTATTGCAACCTTCATTTTTTATTCTTCCAAGTGTAACTTTAATCCCTCCTTTTTTTATCATTTCTATCTTATCTAAAAATGTTGGATTGAAAAAGTGATGGAGGACTTGGAGGTGGATCAAAAATAATATATGAACCTTACTTCTTAGAATTTCATCCTGCCTAGTGCCTAGCACCATTAGCTAGGCAGGATAAAATCTGTACTGTGATAAAAAAATAAAAATGATCTGCAGACTGCACTGTGACAAAAAATGAAAAATTGTACTGTGACAGTGTGAGTTTGTGACCCATTTTGGTTGAGAAACTAAGTAACTATGTCCCCAGGCTGGAATTCTAAAATTTGTGGTTCACATAAAGAAAACGTTCCGCCTTAAAAAAAATGTTACAGGCAACTAGAAACATGTTCGCAGGCTGTCAGAAATTGGCTTCGGTTACGGTAGCTATGATCGTATGAACGTCAAGTCAGGCAACACAGAGAAGGTCCCATGCAAGATTGTTAATTGCGCACTACATAATTTTCCTTTCCTTTGCTATTTTTGAGGATTCATTATAATTATTCCCATATATTCTTAAGTTTGATTAGCGCGGTTTTGCTTAACACGGTAAAACTCGGGGATTTATTAACCGCGTTAATCAAGGGATTGCTGTACGTTGGACGCGTTCAAGCGTTGATTGGATTCTTGTGACTGTTACGTTGGATGCGTTCAAGCGTTGATTGGACTTCTTGTTACTGTAATGCAGGAAAGGAAATCTCCTACTTTTTTGTGAAATTTCGTGGCTCAAAAACCACAATTTTTTTATGACTATGAAATCTTGCGGCTCGCAAGCCCCCGTAATTTGAGTGATTTGGAAATCTCGCGGCTCGTCCACGGCTCGCTAAAATGCCGTGCCTCTACTCCCTACAACACATTGGTACTTAAATTATGCAAATTTACGTCTCTGTAAAGAGTTGAGGTGGCGTATGTCGAGCTAACGTAACACTCACTATATCACATTCACAGATTTCGTGAAGAATCACTGCACGCTGCACCTTCGATACTCGATAGGGTTTTTTTGGGGAATTGGGGTAACATGTAGCTGTAGGGAAACCACGCAGGAAGGACTAAAGAGGAGCAAGGAGGCAGCTGTCAGATACGAACTAACGTTAAAGCATCAAGAGCCGGCCGATCTGGATCTAGCAGCTATGCATCATGCTTTCAGTTGCGTCTAGCCGTAATCTGGAATCGAAAGCAACAACACTACTTAATTCTGCTTGTTAGTCCTTATGTTGTATCATCCGAATTTTAAACCATTTTAGTTCTAAAATATTTGTAGGGAATTTTCTAGTCAGATTTTCAGAATATCAAAATGTTTGCCATCATGATAATTGTTTCCTGCAACTTTGATGATGCGCCAACTAAACAGCGTGGAGTGACTAAGGCACTAGTACGTTGGAGTTGCACCAGGGAAACTACGAAGTTTCATGCCCAGCCGATTTTGTGAATGAAGTGAAGGAAGTTTGCTCCGGCATCTGCTACTTGCACTCTAAGACTAAGATTCTAACCACAGTTAGCAGACTACCAGATGCCACCGCTCATCGATACAAAGAAAAACTAGCTACCTACGATACATTTGCTTAAGTTTATTTGATTTTGTATTTACTTACTTGAAATGTTGAAAGCACTGACACCGTAAGTAAATAGAAGTACATTGGAAATTCCTGAAACGTGCGCGTTTCAGAAACATTTGTTGGATCGTGTTTTATATTTTTGGCATTTCAAATTTTATTTTTATTGTTCTAGTCATGTAGCAGTTAGGAGAGAAGGAATGATATATTCATAAATGTATACAATTTCTCTAATTTATTACTTTTACATATTATTTACAATTAAAAAGTATCAATTTTGTCCTAATTTCAATTTTGTTGTTAAAACAAATGCTTCATACCAAGCATGGGACAGAACGATGTTGCCGGAAGGCATTATTGCTTTTTCTCCACTCAACCCATCTGTGTCATTAACCAATTTTCATACTCAATGCATCCTTTTGTTTCATATTGTTTCAGAACAGAGGTAATAATTAAATTCCATTCAAGCCAAGTTTAATTCAGTAACTAAAATGCTGCCAAGACAGTTGAATGCATCAAGTTAATAGATCAATTGTAGGTTATGCCCTATATACACCAATTTGCCCGCCCTCTCTGCTGTCAATCTATTCCGCTTTGCTGAGTGCACGTGCGAGTGCCTGCTGAACACTGCACTTGTCAACAGCTGCACTTGTGGGAGGCAAGTTCAGTATCTGACTGGCGATTTTTGATAGTTCAGTGGAGCCACACAAGCCAGACCACCAATTCGATGGTGTGGTGTGTTTCACAGCATTCCAGATGTATGGCTTATGAAATAGTTTCTGTTTTGATCGGTAGTCTGCAATCTCTCCAAAAAGTTTGCCACCATTAACACATGGCATGCTAGTTGCAATTTCATCTAGGACTTGGAATGCATCAACCTGTGGAGTCAAGGGTGATATATGAGTCTCAAACTCCCACTATGGTTATAAAAACTGTATCATATACCTAGTTAAATAAAAGATGATGCAATATGCAAGGACGATTTAACAAGCCGCGCGGGACGCGGCGCCGCCTGGCAGCCTGCACCTGCTACGTTTATTGCAAGATGATGCAATAGGCAAGTAGCTATGATGCAATACAAATGACTTCGCTGTCATTCAATGATATTAGGAATTTTAAGATACAGCATAGACCTGTTACCTATCATCCTGTGGCCCTCAGGTAAAGTGATTATGGATTTATTTGCATTTATTTATGTTTTTCTAAAAAAACAATAAAAACATCTTTTTTTTAGGCTGATGTTTTTTATTAAAAAAAATTGTCTTTTATTAAAAAAAACATGAGTGTTTTTTTACGTCGCATCTCTAGCCAAACCAGCTGGTTTTTGGAACGAACCCTTCTTTTCCCAGCATGTATGACAGAAGGCTCCCTTCTCTTGAAAACCGGACACCATACAAAATAGTTGCCGATAATCTAAATGCCATGCACGCCGCTCGGGTGGACTTCTTGAAGAACGAGTCCAGCGAAAAGTTAAGGAGGGCATTGCTGCATCAAGTACAAACATTGGACGTGGATGATCTGGTTAACGGAGATAGTGTGTATTTCAAGCGTCGAGACAGTGATAGATGGCACGGGCCTGGCGTTGTCATCGGAAAAGATGGTAAACAAGTATTGGTGAAGCATGGTGGATCTTACGTGAGAGTACACACCTGCAGACTTCAGTACACGGAACCTGCCAACACTGCAACCTTGCCAGCTGATATCAGAGCTGCACAATCGGCTCCTGAAGCATGCCAGGAACGCACTCACAGTGATACTGCTACAGTGGACTGTGATTCGGACGACGATGATATTGCACAACAGCAGCCAGCTCAACGAAAGGAAGTCATTGATGGCTACATTACTCCTACTCGTAGCAGTGCTTGCAAGCCAAAAATTGGCCAGAAAATTGAATGTTGGCCAAAGCACGGAGGGGATAAATTTTCCGCGACTGTTCTTAGTCGAGCTGGTAAGGCAGGTGGAATATATGACAGCTGCTACAACATCAGACGTGATAATGGTGAGGTGGATTGGGTCGACTTGTGCCGACAAGTTGAAAAATGGCGTACGGTGCCAGAGGAGGCAGAGACTCTCATTACAGTGTGTGATTCACGAACTCGACAAGCCAAGGAAGCAGAGTACAANATCATACCACGGCTCATGAAGTGTTGAGTGTGCAAACGGAGATCCAAATTCGTGCAAGAAGCATGGCAGCATCACTTTTTGTTGCAGCAGCAGCTGTTGAGAAGATTGCCAGTGCTTTTGTAGTTACTGAGCCTCTCAAAAATCCACAAATGGATGGATGTACAACTTATTCTGTTCATTGTTCAATGACCTTGCATTTGCCAAATGTTTTCTTAGTTTGTGATCAAGTTAGCACAAACTATGGTATTTTCAACATATTCTAGAAGATTTTATTCAAGCCTAGCTCTTATTTCAATTGTGACCAGCAATACATTCATTGGTGTGCCAGAAGAACTATGAGTTTTGTTATTTTCACTCATGCTTTTTCAAATATTTTGTGTTAATATCTGATTGGTCTGCGCTGGTGTTGCCGAATGGTTGTGACGTCACGCTTGTTTGGTCGTGAGATGGCTTTGTACGTGCTGCGCTCTGATTGGTTCGGGGAACGCCGGTAGCCTACGTGGCGTGGGCTGGCTGTAACGTGATGCAAGTTGGCGGCAATGCAGTTGGGGAAAGCAGTCTAGCGTTAACCATGATATGGTGAGCATCTTGCGAGCGTGTGCTATTAACAGAAGTGACTGTGGTTTGCCCAGGCTTCTCGGTGGGTGGCCGTGGCGTGGCATGTGGCGAGCTGCGTGATGAGGTATGCCATGTGGCGGGCTTCCAGACCCTGACGAGCCACATGACTAGCCACGTGGCGGTGCCACAGGCGTACTACCTGCTGCTGGCACTCATGCTCGGTCAGCCTGTCAAGACCGCACCTACGCCCGCCAAGGTCTTCAGTATTTAACTGTCATTAGCTGACCATTGAATCATTAGTCATTCTCTAATGATTAATTAAGTTGCAAACTAGGAAATTATCAAATTGAAGAATATTAATTAGTAGGTAATTGTATCAAGTGAAGTGATCCAAATGATAAACGGTTTATAATTTGGTTTTTTGATAGTTATAAACCAAATGTGGGTAATGATATAACGATCATTACCCACTAATCTTTGAAGTATTTAAAATAATTTCTTTACATTAAACGTCTTGGTGCGTGGTGAAATCTTTGAAGTATTTAAAATAATTTCTTAATACTAAACGTCTTCCTGCGTGCGCAGCTGGAGCTGAGCAGCATCTGGTCGTACGTGTTCGGGAGCCCCGTGACAGGCGCGTCGCCCCCGATAGGCAACGTCAGCGGCAGGGCATCGCTGTGCCCTGAGGCCTTCATCACCTTACTGGCCATGATCCGCACCATCATCTCCCCGGGGTGAGTGATGGCCTTCATCACCTTACTGGCCATGATCTGCACTATCATCTCTCCGGGTGAGTCTCCCCGCCATCTCCCCGGGGTTAGTCTGTACTAAGGTGATCTTTCACTACCCATATCCATGAGATTATTCATACCCCTTGCCCCGCAGGTTCGTGGGGCCCCCGTGGCTGGACGCGTGTTCCCGCACGCTGCTGGAGTTGGTTCAGTTCCTGCACCTGCACAACGAAGACCTGGCGCCGGCGCTGCTGACCTGCGACGTGGTCACCGCCCTCGCCCTCACCCTCTTCCCTGCCAACAACGGCGACCTCCTCACCACGCCCCACTCTGACAAGGTGCTCCGCCCCCTCACCACGCCCCACTCTGACAAGGTGCTCCGCCCCCTCACCCTGCCCCACTCTGACAAGGTGCTCCGCCCCCTCACCCTGCCCCACTCTGACAAGGCTATGTGTATAAGAGACAGGTGCTGTACAACANCCCACTCTGACAAGGTCCCCATCAGTAGCTTCATCTATTCAGCACATTCTCTGCCATATTAAGCACATTATGCGCCCTATTCAACACATTATATGCCCTATACGCCCTATTCAGCACATTATACACCCTATTCAGCACATTATACACCCTATTCAGCACATTCTTTCCCCCTATTCATTACATTATACGCCCTATTCAGCACATTATACTCCATATTCAGCACATTATGCGCTATATTCAGCACATTATACATTACTTCATCAACATTGCCCACGCTATTCAGTGTGTAGCTCCCGAATAGGTGTATTCATAGTGTGTATTAATTCATTGATGTTGCCGCAGAGAGGCAACCTGCTGAGCGACATGGAGGTGGTGTGCCCCGGGCGAGGCTGTAAGTCCCTCACGCAACACCCTGCCAGGAGGGACGTGGTGGCGCTCCTCGAACGCCTTGTGCTCGACTCTCTCCTCATGCCGCCCCCCAATAAACCCCCACACGTCATTGACTTCATTCTCGATGTAAGCAACTTGGAAAAAAAATAGTTTTTTTCCTGTCACTGAGCGCAGAAATTTGTCCTGCTTAAACCAAACCGTAGCAAGGATTTTCTCGAGAGTTGAACAAACTTTTTTTTTCCTGTCACTGAGTGCAGAAATTTGTTATTAAAGTCCTGCTTAAATCAAGCCGCATATTCAGCAAGGATTTTTCGAGAGCCTGCCAAGATATATTGTGTTAGAGCTGCCATATTTTTGACTGATGGAAAGCCTCCCTGACTTGTATTTACCCTATATTTTATTCAGTTCTAACAATGTTTTGACATATTGATCCTTTTCTCTTGATTTATCGTTTTTTCTTTCTGCTTCAAGCAGATATTCTTCATCTGAATTTTGATTTCATTTAATTTCCTTCAATCCTTCTTTTCCCTCCTGCTCTCTTCTTGGGCCACATTCCACCCCCAGGCGCCCCCCGATGAGTGCGGCCCATGACTCACTTTTCGCCCCCCAGGCGCCCCCCGAAAAGTGCGGCTCATGACTCACTTTTCGCCCCCCAGGCGCCCCCCGAAGAGTGCGGCTCATGACTCACTTTTCAACCCCACTCTGACAAGGTGCTCCGCCCTCTCACCCGGCCCCACTCTGGCAAGGTCCCCATCAGTAGCTTCATCTATTCAGCACATTCTCTGCCATACTCAGCGATATACGCCCTATTCAGCACATTATACGCCCTATACGCCATATTCAGCACATTATACGCCCCATTCAGCACATTATACGCCCCTATTCAGCACATTATACGCCCTATTCATCAATATTCCCCACGCTATTCAGTGTGTAGCTCCTGAATAGGTGTATTCATAGTGTGTATTAATTCATTGATGTTGCCACCGTATTTTTCACTGCATGCGTCTCCATTTTCCCAGCATTTTCTCATTTATGGAAAAAAATGCACTATTGTGCTCGCCATGTCCGTCTGTCTGTCCGTCCGTGACTTCACGTTTTCGTCGACGAGAAAATGCGCTCTCTGTCACTCACTGCTGTGAGTACTGAGTTATATTTTTCCAGCATTTATCTTCCTTCATCTTCGCGCTGTTAGATACACACCCATGCACACATTCCGTGGCTTCACTTAAACATTTTGCACAATGAATGAAAAAATTGTATTATAAACTTTATATTACGTGCGAAAACTTGAAACCCTATCACGAGCTTAACAGGAAATGAAATAACTATGGTATAAATCGTAACAGTCTTGAGTGTATATTGTATATACATGTATGTCTCTTTAGTGTATATTCATATAGTTTTTGAGTGTATATTTTAAATTTGTCTCTTTTTCTGCGGTTCGTTACCTGAATGCATATTGTTCCGGTTACCTGCCCTCTGGTAACTTGATGAACTATATGACATCAGCAATTTCTTACTTTACCTACATGGCAAGTGACCTTTAAATAACGTTATTTATACGTTATTTATACTAAATTAACTCGTAATAAGCATTATTCTAACATCATTTGACTGGAGGTTAATTACTATGCTGTTATTTGCATTGTTCATTGTCTATCTTTGATTATTAATGATGAGTTAATTTGCATTATTATTATGTATCTGTCTGATTATTAATGATGAGTTAATTTGCATTATTATTATGTATCTGTCTGATTATTAATGATGAGTTAATTTCGATTATTATTATGTATCTGCTTCATTAATAATGATGAGTTGACACCTGAACCCTGTACGAGCAGGTACCTGCTGCAGCCCATCGCCATCGAGATCTTCTCGTCGGACGGCCGCAACTTCCTGCTCGCCTTCCCCAAGGCCAAGGAGCGCAACAAGGTCTATCAGAGGTCTGTTGATTACCTATGTTACCCTCTGTCAAGCAGTTACCTCCTGGCCTCAGTTACCCCTGCCTCTAAGTTACCCTCCGCTGTCTAGTTACTTCCTGTCCTCAGTTACCCTCCGCCATGCAGTTACCTCCTGTCCTCAGTTACCCTCCGCCATGCAGTTACCTCCTGTCCTCAGTTACCCTCCGCCATGCAGTTACCTCCTGTCCTCAGTTACCCTCCGCCATGCAGTTACCTCCTGTCCTCAGTTACCCTCCGCCATGCAGTTACCTCCTGTCCTCAGTTACCCTCCGCCATGCAGTTACCTCCTGTCCTCAGTTACCCTCCGCCATGCAGTTACCTCCTGTCCTCAGTTACCCTCCGCCATGCAGTTACCTCCTGTCCTCAGTTACCCTCCGCCATGCAGTTACCTCCTGTCCTCAGTTACCCTCCGCCATGCAGTTACCTCCTGTCCTCAGTTACCCTCCGCCATGCAGTTACCTCCTGTCCTCAGNGTATAGAATATCATAATATGATCATGTATCATCAATACATCAATGTATTCATGTATAATTCAATGCCCTCAATATCAATGTATTCATGTAGAATTCAATGCCCTCAATATGCCCATCACCACCATGACATTAATCAATGTATAATTCATATGCCCTCAATCTCTCGTCAATCATTCCTTAAATGATGCCGACAGATAATGACCATAAATATTCCATTATTTGATGCCTTCATAATGCCCTTAATCTGTTCTTCCTCTAATGCCCTAAATCATCCCTCAATTTCTTCTTTACCTGCCTTCACTTGGCCTCTTATTTAGCGTTAATGTAGCCTTCCTTATTGATATGTGACCGTGTCTCAGTTATTCGCTCAATTTTGATTATCTTAGATTGAATTATTAGTTATGTACCATTTAAGACTTTGAATTGCTGGTCTCTATTTTTTCATTCGCCCAGAATGATTCACCGAAGTGATCATGCTGTTTTTTCACGTCTTCCTTCACACTCACTGAAATTATTGAGATTTCGTCCAAATGTGATGCAGTTTTGCCTTTACGTTTGTCATTCTTACCAAGTTTGGTCCAGTAAAAATTCGTGTATCAGTGCTACACGCAGGAAGTGTGTCACTATTAGGACAATGTTACTAACGTATTTACGTGAGTGCAGCACGGACTTCACGTCACGGACCGTATGGCACGATTAGGACAATATTACTAACGTATTTACATGAGTGCAGCACGGACTTCACGTCACGGACCGTATGGCACGATTAGGACAATATTACTAACGTATTTACATGAGTGCAGCACGGACTTCACGTCACGGACCGTATGGCACGATTAGGACAATATTACTAACGTATTTACATGAGTGCAGCACGGACTTCACGTCACGGACCGTATGGCACGATTAGGACAATATTACTAACGTATTTACATGAGTGCAGCACGGACTTCACGTCACGGACCGTATGGCACGATTAGGACAATATTACTAACGTATTTACATGAGTGCAGCACGGACTTCACGTCACGGACCGTATGGCACGATTAGGACAATATTACTAACGTATTTACATGAGTGCAGCACGGACTNACCTGTCTCTTATACACATCTAGATGTGTATAAGAGACAGGTATTATTCTTATTATTCCTTTATAAAGGGCTCTATGAGTGCTTGACGATAACCCCCATCATGACAACGATGGGGATTATTAGTTACACGCTTTGTGTGTTATTAATGTTGTGTTACATACCTTGCATGTTACTTGTTACATGCTTCACATGTTACGGTACTTGTTACGTGCCACATGTTACTAAAGTTTTATAACGCGAATCATATCGTGCCCTTATTTAACGTGTTTAACACGAATATTTTTCCATGTGTCGCCCTATGCTGACATGTTACTTGTTACATGCCCCACATGTTACTAAAGTTTTATAACGCGAATCATATCCTGCCCTTTTTAACGTGTTTAACACGAGTATTTTATTAATGTATCGCCGTATGGTGCAGGTGTTCAAGTTATATTTTATTAATTTCTTGCCGTATGCCGCAGGTGTTCAAGGCGTATTAATGTGTGGCCGTATGCCGCAGGTGTTCAAGGTGTCACTGAGCGTGTCGGGCAGCAGTTCGCGCGCCCCGGACCTGGAGAGCGTACGGCTGCAGGTGACCGAGACCGCCAACAAGCTGTGGCTCGTCTTCCTCGAGAACGAGAGGAAGCAGAACTACACTACACGCATGATGCCCTGGGACATGCCCACGCACTTCCACACTGTCACCAACGTCAGCAAGGTGAACCGCAGTTATTTCTTAATAAGAGCCCTTATGGCTGCTTGACGTAAGTAATATAAAAGGATGATTCGCATTATTTGTAACATTGCTCTCCTGCAGAAGCTGCAGAAGGTGACGGGGGGCCTGAGTCGTCTGGCGTCGCGCACCAAAAGTCGTCGTGACGACAGCGTCGTCGCCCGCAAGCCCCTTGTCAACCTCAGCCCCGTCGAGGTCCTTCGTCAGACGAGCGTGCACGTCGCCCTCGTCAGGGAGCTCGTCGCCCTGCAGCACTCGCAGCAGATCCAGGTAAGGGGACCCCACCTACGCCCCTTGAGGGCCTCATGCGATGGGACCTCTTACAGGAGGACATATCGCGAGATGACCTCTCACAAGAGAACTTCTCTCACGATAGGACCTCTCACAAGAGAACTTCTCTCACGAGAGGACGTCTCCCGAGAGGACGTCTCACGAGAGGACGTCTCACAAGAGAACTTCTCTCACGAGACCACCTCTCACAAGAGAACTTCTCTCACGAGAGGACGTCTCCCGAGAGGACGTCTCACGAGAGGACGTCTCACAAGAGAACTTCTCTCGAGAGAGGACGTCTCACAAGAGAACTTCTCTCGCGAGACCACCTCTCACAAGAGAACTCTCACGAGAGGACGTCTAACGAAAGGACGTCTCACGAGAGAACNGACCTACCAAGATACTGGTTCATAATAGTGCCTGGATAATGTTTGTCATGTTTGTCCACAGAAACAAGAGGACCTACCAAGATACTGGTTCATAAAAGTGCCTGGATAATGTTTGTTATGTTTGCCCACAGAAACAAGAGGACCTATCAAGATACTGGTTCTTAATAGTGCCTGGATAATGTTTGTCCTGTTTGTCCGCAGAAACAAGAGGACCTATCAAGATACTGGTTTATAATAGTGCCTGGATAATATTTGTCATGTTTGTCCACAGAAACAAGAGGACCTATCAAGATACTGGTTCATAATAGTGCCTGGATAATGTTTGTCATGTTTGTCCACAGAAACAAGGACCTATCAAGATACTGGTTCATAATAGTGCCTGGATAATGTTTGTCATGTTTGTCCACAGAAACAAGAGGACCTATCAAGATACTGGTTCATAATAGTGCCTGGATAATGTTTGTCATGTTTGTCCACAGAAACAAGAGGACTTATCAAGATACTGGTGGGGCGTGTGGGAGAAGGAGGAGCGTGAGCTGACCCGAGAGCGGGGGTTGTGGGGGCCACTATCCCCCAGCCACCTGGACAAGTGGATGTTGGATGCCACCGAAGGTCCCTGTAGGATGAGGAAGAAGATGGTCGCTAACCCGCTCTTCTACCTCCACTACCCGCCCTACAAAGCCATCAGCGAGCTCGAACAAGGAGTAAGAATGGCATAGCTTTTGCCGTCATTGGTCTCCATTTTCATATCTTTGTTCGTTTCGTTCATGTTTTCAGTTCGTTCATACTTTCGTCTCGTTCATATTTTAGTTTCGTTCTGAACATATAATGTAATGACTCGAAATTATTTTCTCTGATAAATTCTAGACAAACTTGTTTGGCTTCATCCCTGCAGAGGCTGAGCAAGTACAAGATGGCGAGCAGCTTCCACAGTGAGGAATACATGAGGAAGCGCCGCCCCTTAGGGCTGGCCTGCAGGGACCAGGAGACCGGCCCCCAGTCCCCCATGTCAGCCCCCAAGCCCGTCACCCTCGTCGAGTCATACGTCGGCAAGGACGTCACAGAGATGGGTGAGATCAACCTGCGACAAAGAAGGAGTCTTGAGTATTATGGCTCACAAAACCAATGATGATTTAGCTGGGTTACTCGTTTGATCTAGAAATGGCAGTCCAGTTACCCGTGGACATGTCTCTTTGTATATCAAAAGTACTAGCGTTAATTATAAGAGCTTTATTCAACTATCACTGCTTCGTTGTTATTATCATGTCTCAATAAATGAATACGCACCTTGAAAGTGTTGTCGGATTGTGGAGGTGAATGTCAGCTTCATTTGTGAAGCCGTCAGCATACCAGTCAGCCGTCACGGCTTTCTTAGACCCTGACTAACAAGGAATCGAGCGACCAATTCAGTGAAATGCTCGGCAGTTTTCAACCCCATTCACTTCCATCACCGGCGGCAAATCCTCATGCTTAACCCATCGTACGAGTACTTCAATTGCCCAGGACCTGCTTATTAACTTTGGGATAAATCAACCCCCAACACTTCTTAACACTCTTCTGCTCACACTTCTGCAGCTCTGTACTAACCCACACTAATCTGCATCAGGCTTGCGCCATTGCACCATTTTAAGGCTTGCGTTTTTCTTACTTTGAATTAAGCGGACAATTGTTCCCCCAGACGTGTCGGGGCTGAAGGGCCGTAGGCCCCCCGTGTCGGGCGACTCTGGGGACGCGTCCATCCCCAACGAGGACGATGGCGACCCCAGCGAGCTGCTCGACTCGGGGATTGGTTTGTCCGAGCACACGTCATCCCAGCAGCCCGATGATGTCTACACGCCTGATAACCAGTCCCTTATCAGGCTCCTCGAGCACGATGATAAGGTGATAACCAGTCCCTTATCAGGCTCCTCGAGCACGACGATAAGGTGATAACCAGTCCCTTATCAGGCTCCTCGAGCACGACGATAAGGTGATAACCAGTCTCTTATCAGGCTCCTCGAGCACGATGATAAGGTGATAACCAGTCCCTTATCAGGCTCTTCGAGCACGATGATAAGGTGATAACCAGTCTCTTATCAGGCTCCTCGAGCACGACGATAAGGTGATAACTAGTCTCTTATCAGGCTCCTCGAGCACGATGATAAGGTGATAACCATGTCATTTCCATCATCATATAAACCTAGGCTCCGTTCAAGTTTGTCTATTTTTAAAGATTATTCACTAAACAAGCTTATTCTCAATCAAGCTTGATCACTTATTCTAATTTGGTAACGGTAGGTTACCAAATAGCATGGTCCCAGGTATCTCGGTAACATCTCATTACCGTCTCAGGTACCTTATTAACATCTCATTACCGTCTCAGGTACCTTATTAACATCTCATTACCGTCCCAGGTACCTTATTAACATCTCATTACCGTCTCAGGTACCTTAATAACATCTCATTACCGTCTCAGGTACCTTATTAACATCTCATTACCGTCTCCGGTACCTCATTAACATCTCATTACCGTCCCAGGTGAGCCACATGTTCCGCTGTGCGCGCATCCAGGGGCTGGACACGACGGAGGCGCTGCTGCTGTTCGGGCGGGAGCACTTCTACATCGTGGACGGCTTCACGCTCCTCAAGTCTCGGGAGATCCGAGACATAGAGTCTCTGCCCCCTGGTGGGTTATTTTAGTGTGTTATTAGCTCCTATATTTCTTTGTTTACGTATAACATTGTCATGTTTCTTTGTTACATTGTCATGTTTCCTTAGACCCTTTATTTCTTACTGTCTGCCTATATAGGCGACGATGTGGTCTATCGACGACTATATACGTATAGTCGTCTGCTAAGTCTCTTTATTGCTTTGACTACACTCCGAGAAATTAGTGAGACTTTGTACAATTAACGATGCACTTTTTTGCCTCTAATAGTGGGTCATCCTGACTCACTTGAGCCCAGCTAAAGGGCGTATTAATGCTCGTGATGTGGGTAAAAAGTATGTCATTGTCACTTCTTGGACAATGTAACATTCAATTTCCTGATTATATGGATTGAGTTTATATAATCAGGAAATATGGATGTGAGTTTAAAAGTGGCTGCTTATATAGATTTCGATCATAATATTTTCCTTGAAGCAACTAAGACTTGGTGCTGAGTATACGTCTTCTGAGGTGCTAAGGCTGAGTGTGCTGATGTTGTGTGAGGTGAGGTGTTAAACTGTTAATATGTATGGTGAGGTGCCAAGGCTAAGGACGAGTGTGCTAAGGCTGAGTGTGCTAAGGCTGAGTGTGCTAAGGCTGAGTGTGCTAAGGCTAAGTGTGCTGAGGCTTTACTGTTGATGTTGCAGGGAGCCACGAGCCCGTGATCCCCTCTGCAACAAGCGGGGGTTGGACCCCAGCAGGAGGGGCGCAAGACCCCCACGCCTGCTACAAGCTCCACTACGACGACATCAGGGAGGCCCTCCAGCGCAGGTGCTGCGCCGCGTCCCGTGGATGCCACGCTCTGTGGCAGCTTTATTCTGTATTCTTATCTCACTTCAATCTTATCCTTCATTATTCCCCGTATTTTTCACTGCATGCGTCTTCATTTTCCAGCATTTATCTTTCTTCGTCTTCCGCGCTGCTAGATACACACCCATGCACACATTCCGTGGCTTCACTTAAACATTTTGCACTATGAATGAAAAAATTATATTATAAACTTTATATTACGTGCAAAAACTTGAAACCCCTATCACGAGCTTAGCGAGAAATGAAATGAATATGGTATAAATCATAAGTCTTGAGTGTATATTGTATATATGTCTCTTTAGTGTATATGCATATAGTTTTTGAGTGTATATTATAAATTTGTCTCTTTTTCTGGCGGTTCGTTACCTGAATGCATATTGTTCCGGTTACCTGCCCTCTGGTAACTTAATGAACTATATGCCATGAGCAATTTCTTACTTTCCCAACAAGGCAAGTGACGTTTAAATAACGTTATTTAAACGTTGTTTATGCTAAATTAACTCGTAATAAGCATTATTCTAACATCATTTGACTGGAGGTTAATTACTATGCTGTTATTTGCATTGTTCATTGTGTATGTTTGATTATTAATGATGAGTTAAGTTGCATTATTATTATGTATCTGTTTTTATTATTAATAATGAGTTAGCACGTGAACCCTGTAAGTGCAGGTACCTGCTACAGCCCATCGCCATCGAGATCTTCTCGTCGGACGGCCGCAACTTCCTGCTCGCCTTCCCCAAGGCCAAGGAGCGCAACAAGGTCTATCAGAGGTAGGTTAATTACCCACGTTACCCTCCATCCTAAAGTTACCCTCCGCCAGTAGTTACCTCCTGTCCTCAGTTACCCCTGCCCTTAAGTTGTCCACCGCTACTCAGTTACCCCTGCCCCTAAGTTACCCTCAGCTACTCAGTTACCACTGTCCTTAAGTTACCCTCAGCTACTCAGTTACCCCTGCCCTTAAGTTACCCTCAGCTACTCAGTTACCCCTGCCCCTAAGTTACCCTCAGCTACTCAGTTAACCTCCGCTACTCAGTTACCCCTGCCCCTAAGTTATCCTCGGCTACTCAGTTACCCCTGTCCCTAAGCTACCCTCAGCTACTCAGTTACCCTCGCTCCTAATACCCTCAGATCCTCTGTCCCGGTTACCCTCCATCAGATTCTCCCCCACTTACCTTTGTTCTTCAGTTGCCCCCTCTCCTCCCATGTCTATAAAGGTAATTCCGCTCACCACCCTCACCTCATCACTGCCTCACAGTGCCTCACCATGCCTCACATGTCTCACCATGCCTCACAATGCCTCACCATGCTGCAGGCTGCTGGTGGTGTGCACGGGTCTCGCTGACTCAGCTCACCAGTCAGTGGAGGGGCAGCGGCGCTCAGCGAGCGTCGAGCAGACGGGCGGCCTCTTCAGCTCACTCATAGGCGAGACGTCCGTCACGCACAGATGGGTGGTACGTTATTAGGGTGGTACGTTAACGGGGGGTACATCACGCACAGATGGGTGGTACGTTAACGGGGGGTACGTTGGGTGTCGTACGTCACTCACAGATGGGTGGTACGGGGGTGGGATGGGTGGTACCCTAATAGGGTGGTACGTTATTAGGGGGGTACGTTGGGTGCTGATGGGTGGTACGTTAACGGGGAGTACGTTGGGTGTGGTACATCACGTACAGATGGGTGGTACGTTGACGGGGGTACGTCATGCACAGATGGGTGGTACGTTGACGGGGGCGTATGTTGGGTGTGGTACGTCACGCACAGATGGGTGGTACGTTGACGGGGGTACGTCACGTGCTGATGGGTGGTACGTTGGGTGTGGTACGTCACGCACAGATGGGTGGTACGTTAACGGGGGTACGTTGACGGGGTACGTCACGTGCTGATGGGTGGTACGTTAACAGGGGTACGCTGCTTACAGGTGGGTGGTACGTTAATATGGGTGCGGGCTAATGGGTGGTACATCGCGAACAGCTGAGAATCAAATTCACGAATTCAATTTCAAGTTTCTGGACTCTGGATAGCTCCTGCGCCTGACTGAACCTTGTCCTGAAACGAAATGAACCTGAATGAACTTTAACCAAGCTGGTCCGTGATAAACCTTGCTCCTGACCCCGCCTCTATACCTGCCGTGTACAGCGCGGGGAGATCAGCAACTTCCAGTACCTGATGCACCTGAACACGCTCGCGGGGCGCTCCTACAACGACCTCATGCAGTACCCCATCTTCCCCTGGGTCCTGGCTGACTACGAGTCCTCCTCCCTCGACTTCAGCAACCCCGCCACCTTCAGGGACCTCACCAAGCCCATGGGCGCCCAGGTACGTGACCCCGCCACCTTCAGGGACCTCAGCAAGCCCATGGGCGCCCAGGTAAGGGCGCCCAGGTACGTGACGCCGCCACCTTCAGGGACCTCACCAAGCCCATGGGCGCCCAGGTACGTGACGCCGCCACCATCAGGGACCTCACCAAGCCGATGGGCGCCCAGGTACGTGAGGCCCCCACCTTACGATGATGTATTTTTTATTATGTTGATGACGTCCTGCTACGTCTGGTGACGCGATTCGACTTGAATAGGTTTCATATTTTACCTAGACTCGTGTTGAGCCTTCATGTCTGAAGCGCAGTCCCTTGTACAACAATACAATGAACCTCCTCAACCTCACCACTAACACAAGACCTCCCTTTAATGACATTATTAAGCCCCAAATCCTCACCTTGATAACCCCTCACCCCCATACCACGCAGACCCCCGACCGTCTGGAGCAGTTCCGTAAGCGGTACCGGGAGTGGGACGATCCCTCGGGGGAGACACCCCCTTACCACTACGGCACCCACTACTCCTCCGCCATGATCGTGTCGTCCTACCTCGTCAGGATGGAGCCATTCACCCAGCACTTCCTCAGACTACAGGTGAGGAACCCGCACTAATCCTGCCAGACTGTGGCAACAGTAGCTAATGTAATAATATACAGTAATATTAATGTCTATCATTGATGTATAGACTGGTATGATGAGAGCCATCGTTAATGCCCCATGCTGCTCTGGGCGGGTACTTCAGCCTGGCATTAAGGTCCCAGCGTGTTTCGTGCGCACTCATAAACTTTTTCTTAGTTCCCTTAAATTGTAACTTGCCCACAAAGCGACACGATAATCTTCTTTTAGAAATAAAAATGGTAATAATAATAATAATACTCGCTCAGGGTGGTCACTTCGACCTGGCGGACCGCATGTTCCACAGCCTGAAGGAGGCGTGGCTGTCGGCCTCCCGCAACAACATGGCCGACATCAAGGAACTTATTCCTGAGTTCTTCTACTTGCCGGAGTTCTTGGAGAACTCCAATCAGTTTGATCTCGGTGAGTTCCTCAGGATGTTTTTCCTGCGCAATTGAATGAATCATTGTTTATCAGGAAGTATAGTGCGCGACTACAGAGACACTAAGCATCTCTGACGCTCCCCTCACCACAGAGACACTAAGCTTCTCTGCCCCACCCCTGTGCAGGCATCAAGCAGAGCGGGGTGCAGCTGGACGACGTGATCCTGCCGCCGTGGGCTAAGGGCGACGCGCGGGAGTTCATCCGGCAGCACCGCGCGGCGCTGGAGAGCGACCACGTGTCCCAGCGCCTGCACCACTGGATCGACCTCATCTTCGGCTGCAAGCAGCAGGGACAGCAGGCCGTTGAGGCCGTCAATGTCTTCCATCATCTCTTCTACGAGGGCAACGTCGACATATATAGGTGGGGGGAGGGAGGGTTGTGACATATGTAGGTGACAGGAGGGAGGGTGATGATATATTGGTGACGGTAGGGAGAGTAGTCAAGCAGCAGGGCCAGCAGGCCGTTGAGGCCGTCAATGTCTTCCATCACCTCTTCTACGAGGGCAACGTCGACATATATAGGTCAGGGTAATTACATATGTAGGTGAGGGGACTGGGGAGTGAGGGTAATGGCATGTATAGGTGAGGAGAGTGATGGTAATGACATATATAGTAGAGAGGAGTGAGGGCAGCAACATTATAGGTGAGGGAAGTGAGGGTAATGACGTCACATTAATGAGGTAATGACCATTACTCTAACACTTAATGGCGTATGTGCAGTATTGACGACCCGCTGAAGCAGAAGGCCACCATCGGCTTCATCAACAACTTTGGCCAGATCCCGAAGCAGCTCTTCAGGCGCCCCCACCCCTGCAAGAAGCTCGGGGGCCAGCGTTCCTCCATCATGGACGCCTCCCCCCTCGTGCAGGCCCCCGCCGTCACCCCCAGGGACAAGGTAGGTCCCCCTGCTGTCACCCCCAGGGACATGGTAGGTCCCCTGCTGTCACCCCCAGGGATAAGGTAGGTCTCCTGCTGTCACCCCCAGGGACAAGGTAGGTCCCCTGCTGTCACCCCCAGGGACAAGGTAGGTCCCCTGCTGTCACCCCCAGGGACAAGGTAGGTCCCCTGCTGTCACCCCCAGGGACAAGGTAGGTCCCCTGCTGTCACCCCCAGGGACAAGGT